TTTTGTTATAGTTACAGAAAGTTGACTAACACAGAAATCCTCTGCCCTCTCACAGGATGTGACATCTGAGGGACAGATGTGGTAATGTGTGACAGAGCCTCGTGAAAGACCAAGTTCTAAAGTTCGTCATTAGCAGCAGCCACCTGGAACTGCAGAACTGGCTCGATGTAGGGAGATCTTGCTTCTTTGTTTAGAGTCGCCTCTGTCTGTTTTCTCTCCAAAAGCTCACTAAAACCCAGCCTTTGTTCAGTGGTTCACAACCACCAGCTGGACTTAACAGTGGAAATCTGAACTTTTCACAGCTAAGGAGCTCTCTCAGCTGCTCATGAATGCAGCCATCAGAAGGATGTGAGCTCAGGCTCTGGTCCCCAGGCCCTGGGAGCAATTTCCAGCCAACAAACACAGACAGCCTGGGCTCCTGTCCCCAGCCAGCACCCACGCTTTGTGTTTCTCTGACTCTTGGCTTCTGTGCTACCTCAGCGCTTGCTTTTAGTGGACTTTGACCAGCTCTGTAGATAACACCTCTGAACAGTTGCTCAAGTTACTTTTCAGGGAGTGGAACGCTGTTTTTGCCAAATCCACTGAGTCTTCACCAGGGCCTGCACATCTGATAGGGACCTTGGGACCCCAGAAGTCTGAAAGCTCCACTCTCAGATCTTGCTAACATGTGTTCAACCCAGTTAGGCACAGGCATGGACCCCTGACCACGCCCACCAGCTCTTCCCTTGTCCTCAAATCATGCCTTCTGTATCTTCCACAACCCCAAGGCTCAGTCCTTGGCCACCTACAAATAAACTCTCTGACTAAACCCTTTGTTGCAGTGTGCAGCGGGCAGAGGGACCCGGCCCAGGGAGGCCTCATCCTCTGGCCAGCACAGCTTTGGTGTGGTGACTCTAGACTGTGAAGAATGCCCTCCCTGCGGGTCAGAACACCTGTCGTTTATGCACAGCTTCCTCCCTCGAGCTTTGGGTGCCTGGCAGCCTTTCCAGCATCCCCTCCAGGGCCCTGGAATCCCCATTTCCCCTCATGCCGCCACATCCCCATCCTGCAGCACCACCCTCAGCCGGCGGGGCTCGGCTGCTCTGGAAGCCCCTCTGGCTAGCTGCCTACCTGGCCCACGCCCTCTACTGGGACTCCCAGGCCTCGCTGGGCTTCGCATTGTTCAGAGCAGTTGCCTCTCAGAGCTCCAGCAGCAGCCTCTTGTCCCATAGAGGTGTTTTTTTTTAAAAAACCAGCATGAAAATGTATAAGGAGCCCCACACACATCCAAAAGTCTCCAAGGTGGGAGAAGATAAGTGCTTACAGAGGGTCTCTCCTTTGCCTAAGGGTTTAAGGCAGACAATTCAGAACTGAGATCATCCAAGCACTGCATTCTGGCGGCTTCCTCATTATTTTATTTGTGTATCTATTTATTTTGCTGGCTGGGGATGAAATGCAGGACCTTGTACATGTAAGGCAGTGCTGGACTGCTAGCTGCACCCAGGCACATTCATTTCCTTTAATTTTTAATAAATGGTGTGGGTTGAACCACTCCTGCCTAGATGGGGAGATAGGTCAAGGGACATTTGAGATGTCATCGATTCAGCTGGTGACTAAAATCAGACAGGAAGTCCTAAGCCCAAGAGATAAAGGAAGGCTGGGGAAAATGACCTCCGGTTATCTGGCTTGGTGGAAGACTTTCCTGGGGTAGGCGTGGGCCTGTGTGAAGCTAAGGTGGGGACGGAAAGGGACTGCCAGGCAGCAGGAGGTAGCCCAATATAAACACCAGTGTCCTGCCACCAAACACGGACCGGTCCCGCGTGGGTGACAGGGATGAAGGATGATGCAAGAGCCATCTCAGCATTAAGTCACCGGGCTTTGGAGCCCAGGCCGCAGCCCTCCTAGCAGGATCAGGGTGACCTCATTGCAGAGGTACAGAGGGCTTTGGGTGATTTTCTCCAGGCGCCTGCTCAGATGTGGCAATCGAGAGACACTGCTGGGTCACTGGAGAGTCGGGGTGACTAAGTCACCTGTGTTGGCTTGAGTTTTGGTTATTGTGGTTATCATCATTCTAAAACAGAAATGAGCAAACCAGTACAAATGAAATGACCAGAAGGGCTGCCGGGAAACAAGCCAAGTACTCCGGGCACCACAGTTCCCATGAGGTCAGGAATCCTTCCTCAGCACCCTCAGATGTGAAACACAGGATTAAAGCTGGGCATGATGGCACACACCTGAATCGTAGCACTCAGGGATGGAAGTGAGGTTCGCTGTGAGTTCAAGGTCTGCCTGAACTATAAAGTGAGACCTTGTCTCAAAAAATAAATAACTAAATAAAAACAAGGATTGGATTGGCATTTAGCTCGGGGGTGGAGCACTTGCCTAACATGTGCAAGGCCCTGGGTTTGACCCACAGCACCTCAGGAACAAAACAGACAAATCAACTTGGATTCCAGCAGTTCATTTTTCTTAGACGTATTAACCACAGACACCATTGCAGCAGCAGAATAACGTCAGAACGAGATACATAGCAGGGGTGGTAAACCTATGGCACACATGTTGTTTATCTTTTAAGACAAAAAAATGTTAACACAGAGTTGTTTTTTTCCAAACTAAAACCTCAATATTCAGGATTAATTGCAGTGTTGTTGCTTGACGATAAGTCAGTGGGTTTTGCCATTTAGTACTCTATCTCTAAAAGATTCGCCATCATTGATATAGTGTGCTTGGGTATAAGTAGTATATGTAGATGATCTCACAGACCAATTAATCTCTGCAAAATAGTTACCTTCTTATTCTGATATTCATGCACGAATGATCCAGTAGATCTATAAGGTCAGAAAGGGTCATCTGTGCACTTTCAAGTCATTTTTAAGTAATAGACGTTTTTTAGAGAAGTTTCAGGTTTCCCAAATGTGGTGAAACTGTTTTTAAAAGAAAAAAAAAACCTCATTGGCTTTTACTTCTGTTCCCATGTGACACCAGTGTCAGACATAGGAAGAGGCTTTTCCCAGCAGAGGGCTTTCCTCCTGGGGAGAGATTCAGGAAAGTGACGAAGCTGGAAAAAAATTATAAAAGTAAAACAGGCCCCGTGTGCATGCACTCTACCACCAAGCTGTACCCCAGCCTGAAATGCATTCATGAGGTGATTTCCCAGGTCACGTGTGTCGTTTGTCTGAAAACATTTTCTGGTGATATTCTGTGAGTCGGTTAACAACCCAGTTTCTTGGTCTCATTGGAAACACACAAGAGAGCTAAGCACAGAGCAAACGGCCTTTCCTGCCAACAGATAGGCAACCACCAGAGCCCAGGAGAAAGCAGACTGCCTGATGTCCAGTCTGGGCTCCGCACAGGCCACGCGCTCCAGATGCCAGGCCCTGCAGGGGAGGGACGCGGGCTTGTTTACTCTACGGAGTCCCAGAGGGTGGCAAGTGGGCTGACACCTGAAGTGCCAATGCTTGAGGACCAAGGAAAAGGAGGTTCTGTTGGAGACTCAGAAAGTGAATCTAAGCAATGCAGTTCCCTCCACCAGGGAACTGACTGGAAATGAGAATGATCAAAAGAGTCTGAATAGATCACGGTTACTAAGGAAAATCCCTGGTATCCCAATGTACTTTCTCCAGCGACCTTGCCCTTCCACTGCCTGAGCCCCCAGGACCCTGGGCCAGCACGGCAGCCTCGAAGGGTTCCGTGGTAGGTCAGCGGGGCTTTGACTCAACAATGTCAGACAAGGTGCCTCCCAGAAACAGCCCCGGGAGGGCAGCGTTTCACAGTGTTACTTTTCAGTCGTTTCCCATATATCCACATAGCACTTGAATGTTTATATTACAGTTTATATACATGTTTGCTTTCCACTGTTTTGGGAAAGGTGATTTGATGATTGATTTTGCTATGTCTGCACAACCTCGTTACTGGTCATCATAATGGCTGCCTGATATTGCACTGTACTGACATCCTTTAGAGATATTTCTCTATGTCTGGGTATCTGAGATATTTTCAGCACTCAGATAGTCAAAACAGTGTTTCAGACCCACTGTTATCTTACATGAGAATTTTAAAAATGTGTTTCATTAGGTTAAATATTTAAAGAACAACAGCTCTAAGTGAACAACCCAGCTTTTAACTTTTACTGTCTCCCAGTTCAAAACTACCCTGGCCTCTCCTGTCTGAGTTTAACTAGCATCATAGCACTTCTGGCTCAGCTGCCTGCCAGCTCAGGGGATCCCCATGTCCCCTTCCCTTGGCCCACAGTGACCTGAACACCCCTGAAGGGCAGTGCCGCTGCTGACGGGGAAACTTTCCTCTGACTTGGGGATGAGGTGCCCACTTTGTGTGCACACTATCTAGGCAGAGATTTCATTTTATTTCTTGAACTCAAAGAGCTTTGAGGCAAGTTTCCTGGAATGCGATGTCACCACAAGTGATTTTTATCTTTGTATCCCTCTCCCTACCCCACCAGTGAGTCCCTGCCTCAAATCAAAGTCCCCATTGTTACCTTATCCACTCCCCACTCCTCCTCCTCCACACCTTGTGGGAGGCTGAACAACCTCACTGTGGTGGGAACACAAAGCCTTGGTTTGCAGGGAGCCCTAGTGCTAACAGGGTGCACTTCAGCAAAGCCCCAGGTGGGGTGGGGGCTGTTGGTGGTCCTTGGACTCCTACTGAGGCTACTGGACCACGCTGACAGCTCTGGTGCACTCGGTCTCTAACGCTCCCAGGCTGGCAGCCAGAAAGAACAGGCTCAGCACAGCTGAGAGCCTGTCTGAGGTCACGTCCCTGGTTACCAGTGCAGCCAGTTCCGCCCTAAAACTTTCCCTGTACCCTCCGAAAAGGCGTCGGCCGGTTCAGCAGGTGCCAGCTCCCACAGCTGCTTCTGCTTGATGGCAAATTCCAGAAGCCAAAGCAGGCAGGTGGCTCCAAGGAGGAGGGAAATAAACTCCCGGAGACCAGGGCTGGGAGAAAATGAAACCCAGGAGGCCTGAGCAGCCGAGACCAGGCCTGGCACCTTCATAGCAGATGGGCACCCAGCCCTTCCACCCTTGATACTCCAACGGGACACAGGGACAGAAGACCCTCCACCTCAGTCTCCCTATGGCCTGCTTTGCACCAGGCTACTTTTAGCCAGGAGGATTAGCGCCCCCTTCCTGAGAGTCCCTCTTAGTCTGAGTGCAGGATTCTAAAGAAGATTCCTCAGGCCCCCATCCGGTCCCTGGTTCCTGTGATCCAATGACATCAGGGCTGTGAATAATCCAGCGGGCGCCAGGCCAAGCCAGATGGCTGCTCCCCCTCCGAGCAAGTCCTGTCCACTAGGCACCCTCCCTCGTTGATCCCGCCCCACCATCACCCAGCCTCCCACCGGGACCTTAAGAGCAGCAGGCACAGAGCAGAGGGAGCCTGAGCAGCTGAGCAGTGGAGTCTGTGGTGAGTCGGGATCTGTGCTTTTTGGGCGCTGTCCCCTCTTCTGTCTCTTTAACAATTTCAGGCAGAGGGAGCCAAAGAAGGGGTGGCTGTGCCACTGAGTCTGGGAGGACTGGTGGGAGTTCTTTCTGTATTCGCTGTGCTGAGGTGATCTGAGGGGTGTGGTGGCCAGGAAAGCCAAGAGGGGGAAGGAGCCTCTGCTCACATGCAGGCTTTGGGAAGTTGCAGCAGTGCCCCGCAGAGCCTCTGCAGACAGCGGGCAGTGCTGGGTGCAGACCGGGCTGGAGCCACAGTGTCCTGGAGGGTGAGGCCTGCTGTGGCCTCTCCAGGGAACCGGGAGCCAGTGAAGCAACCAAGGCTGGGATGCTGGGGATCCCTCCCCTCCGGAACCTGACGATCCAGTGGGAAGGAAGCACCAGGAAAGAGCAGCCTGGCTTTCAGCCGCCTGGCATTCCCACTTGGAGTCTGGGTAGAAAAAACGCCACCGGTTGGTTTGTGCTGGCTTTCTCTCCAGGGGCGTTGATCCAGGCTGCTGTCCTCCTTAAGGCCTTTTCTACTCCAGGGAAAAAATAGCATCGATGTCTTTTATCCCAAGGCACTCAGCAGGAGCCTGGGCAGCCTCTCTGGATGCTTCTGGTATTTTCTCTCGCTTTTTTAACCTCATAAAAAGGGAGAGAAGCAGGAAAATATGCTGAGCTCCTCGGTAACTAATGATGAACTAGGGCATGAAAAAGTGTGGCAGCAGTGATTTGTTTGGTAGCAGATTTGGAATAATATAGTATTTGGAATAATATAGTCTCCTGGGGCTGATGGGTGACAAAGTGTGTGTGTGTGCGTGTGCGTGTATGTGTGTGTCTGTGTAGGATAGCTGCAACTGGAGCCCCCGAAGGTGACTTCCTAGCCTTCCTTGGGTGTGGGCCAGGCTCATGCTGGGTGCAGACCTGGGTCAGTCACAGTGGTCCCCAGGGGTGCTGGGGCGTGCCTCCTGCGAGAGCAGTCAGGCCAGGGTGCTGCTGGGATGCCAGGACCACCCAGACATGAACAGCTTCTTCCCACCCACCAGTGTACTCTGCTGAGGACTTCTGAGATCAGCCTGGGCCTGTGAGTCTTGCCCTGTCCCCAGGCCCCCCTGTGCCCACCAGCTCCCCATTTATTCTGTGCCTCTTACCAGACTCCCAGCACCTGCCCTGCATTGCAGCCTGTGACAGGCAACACAGCCACCAGGCTCCCCAGCGCAGGACTCTGGGTCCCTTTTTGGGGCTCCTGTGCTAGCAGCAGAACTCAGGGCTTGTGCAGGCCCATGCAGCCAGGCACACTGGTGGTGTGGCTCTAAGTGATTCTGCCCACAGCTTCTCTTGGACCAGGGCACATGTGAGTGAGCTCGGTATCTGGTAGAGGCTGGTTCCCAATCCTTGAGCAGAATCCCAATCCTTGTTCAGTCTCAGAGTTTTCTGAAAACTTAGGGAATTTAGTGGCTGCACGTGGGAGCACTGCTCAGCCCAACATGAAGGAGGCAGCAAGTTTATGGAATGATAGTGGACTTAGCTCCACTCTGATTCAAAGCCTCTGGACTCCTCTGAGATGGCAAGTATCCGGAGTAAGGAAGATTTTGAGTTTTTAGTTGAAATGTTTTAGTTGTCTTTTGATTAGTTGGCATCGTGCATCTGAAGTCAAAGAATAAAATTTTCTGGGAGTAATTTTCCGCTCTGTTTTGGTAAAATTTTGAGATGGGCACTGAGGGATGGCAATATTCTGTTCACTCCTACTTTGGGCCATATGTTTTGTAAACACAGGAGAAAAGTCTGCAGGGAGAAGGTAAATCCAGTAACCCAGGACAAATTCCACAACCTAGGTTTTCAGCTATAAATCTCATCCCAGGGAAAACAGCTCATGGAACAATGATCAAACCCTGTAAGAGAGAGGGCGACCTAGATTCATAGAAAATTAGATCTCCAGCCAGGTGTGGTGCAGCCCACCTGTAACCTCAGTGTTGGGAGCCTGTGACAGAGGATTGTCATGAGTTTGAGGCCAGCCTGAGTTATACAGTGAATGCAAGGCCAGCCTGAACTACCTAGGAAGAAACTGTCTCAAAACACCAAAGAAAGAGAATTAGAGCTGGAGACAGACTTAGAATTGATGGCCTGGTTCTCCCCTAACCAGGCTAAGCACTCATTGGAGACGGCTTCCTGCACATGGGAAGGGTAGACTCAGCTCGATGCACTGCAGAGCAGTGCCATGGCCAGAGTGCACGCAAGGTGACCCTTGACTCACAGGCCCAGCTATTAAGTATGTAGATGCTTACACCATGTTCCTGACAGCACAGCTGAGGCTCCATGACTTCCATTTAGGGATGGATGGAGAAGATCTGATCCTACTTGGAGCCTCCAAAATAGTTGCCACCAACCCGAAACCACAGTGCAGACCTCTGTATAAACACCTTTTCTGTTCAGTGTGGTAACTCACAAGCAGAGGTTAGGAAACCCACACTGGGCTCCCCCAAAGCTCCTTCATCCTCAGAACTCTTGGGGATTCCAGACACACCACTCCAGGATGAGAGCCAGGGGTGCATATATCCTCCCCTTTGTCTACCAAGAGGGGCGTGCCCTGAAGAGTGAGGGGTTTGGGTCTCTTACCGTATAGCCCCAGACCCCAAGCCATGCACCATTTCAGGGCGGGAGCCTGGCAGGAACACCATGTCCTTGTCTAGTGAACCCCTCCTTCTGCTCAGAGGGTGGCATCTGTTCACATAATCTGGAAAGCCCGCCTTGAGAGCCCCTTGCTGAGGCTGAGCGAGGCCTCTCTCCCCACCCCAGGTGGGTACACGTGGCACTGGGTGCCCTCTGCCCTGGAGCTGCACAATGGTCAGTCCCTTTCCTTGTCCAGGAGTACGAGTACCTGGAGTATGGAGTCTGTGTCACCAGAGCCAGCTTGGCCTGAGTGTGACTGTGCAGGATGTGTGTGCCATGGAAAGGGGGTTCACCTGGGCGGGGTGAGGCCTCGGTGAGGGTGAGGATCTGGTAGTCACCTGGAGAAGCCCGGGCTTCGGAAGGTGCAGGCCAGTGCCAGCTAGGGAAGCCACACCAGGGGGCCAGTGAGGCCAGCCTGGGAGGAAACAGACTGGGCATCTGTGCTGCCTGGCAGCTGGCAGTGTGTCAGGGACTCAAGGAAGAAGAACGTGTCCTAGTCTGCAGCTGTAGCAAGAGCCAGTCTCTGCCACTTAGCAGCAAAGGGAAAGGAAAGGTCTGTGGGTTTTGTCCTTCTGGGGGCCTCTGGCATCCACAGGGTGGCTCTGGCCTCCAGATGTCACTGTGCCCTGCATCTGTGGTGACATCTGAGCTCCTGGACGTCTCGCCTCCTCCCAGAACCTGTGGTATAAACAAGCCTGGAAAGGCAGCAAGAGAATGGTTAGAATAGGGTGCAAAACATCCCCCCTGCACTCGGCACACAGCCGCCCCTTGAGCTGGGATCAGCCTTAGGTCACCGTGACATGGACGGGTCACTCAGAGACAGGCTCAGGGTCCATGCTGGATGCGGCACCCACACGCAGAGCTGTGCCTGCTGCCAGGCTCCTGGAGGCCACTGTGGAAGGGCACGGGGGCAATAAGCACAGCAGATGCCATGCACCACACAGGAATAGTCCCTCTCTGGACAGCCAGGATGAGGCAGCAAGGTAGAGGGGTTCACCTGTGATGCAGCAAGGGGGTGAAGGCTCAGGAAAGGGGGTCACCCACCCAGACACAGCAACATCTGTGCACACACATTCTGCCAGGCTGCTCTGATACCAACTCTGAGCACATTAAGAATGTCAGAAAAAGCCAGGCATGGTGGCTCATACCTGTAATGCCAGTACTCTGGGAGGCCGAGGCAGGAGGATTGCAAATTCAAGGCCAGCCTGTCCTATAATAAAAATAAAGAGTTTTACTTAATTCAGCTGTGGAGCTCTTGCCAAGTATGTGGCAAGCCTAGGTTCCATCCCCAGTACCTGCCCCTTACAAGATAGTGTCACAGAGATGGTAAGAAATAGAAAGAATGCTGGGTTTTAACTGGAGGAACTCAGAATTCTGGGAGTGTCACTGGTAAAGCTCAGGTCTGGCATCTGTATAAACTTGGAGAGAAAACCTAATTGACAAGGCTGTGGGACTGTGTAATGCGGGGGAAGGTGGCAGTAGGAACAGGTCCCTGTTGGTGAGTGGCGCTGCCCCAGGAAGTGTAACTTCCACAGCAGGCCAGCAAACAGGGTGAATGCCTGTAATGCTACAGCGAAAGCTTTTGGCTTTACTTTCTGAGTCAAGGGCACGGAGACCTGAGGTGGCTTCAGGAGTGGACTGGAAATGCAGTGCTGGCTTCTTTGCTGACCAAGATGTCCATTTAGGTGAACGCTGGCCCCGGTGGAGTTAGTCTGGCCCTGGAGTTAACACTGTAGTGCACTGTTTGAGTTGCCCTTTGCTAGTTGAACCTCTCAGTTTATTGAGAAAGGGCTCCTTTTCTCCTTTCCTTTGCAGAGGGCAAGAGAGACTTATTCCCACGGCCAGTGCTTCCTTTGTACCTGGTAGAAGTGGAATGCCAGGGGATAACGACAAACACCCTGGGTGTGGACGGTTCTGAGGCTGATTTCTCCTTAGATGTAGGTTATAGGTCATGCCTGGGCTCCTGGGCTTTGCATGTGCTTTGCCAAGTCTCCTGCCCTGGTAGGAGTGGCAGGGTGCAGGGTGCAGGGTGCTTTCTTCTCAGCTCCCTGCTCCTCTCCCCACCCTGAGAAAGGGTCCTGCTCAGGAGCAAAGATAAGCAGGTTGGCTAGGGGAGGGTCACCTTGTGAAGAGTTAGGAATGGCTCAGGTGATGGCAGCTGCTGGACAGGACCTGTCCTGTGGCCTGGCTGGAGGGCAGACTGCTCTTACCAGGTGAACTGTGGGGGCCTTCCGGCCTCTTCTGTGACCTCGCTCACTGCCAGGAGCCCAGCTCCCTCTCCTTTCTTTCTTCCTTCTGTCCATCGCCCCTCCCTTCCTCCTTTTCCCTTTTCCCTTCCTCCTTCCTTTCTTTCTCTTTCTATTCTTATTTAAAGGCAGGATCTTGTTAAGTCCCTAAGTAGCCCAGGCTGGGCTTGAACCTGCAACCTCCCTGCTTCTGTCTCCTGAGCGCTGAGATTAAGGTGCACGCCCTCTGGGCTGGCTCTGCTTCACTGTTTCTTTGCTCCTGCTGTTTATTTCCCAGTTCATTGACTGCCATCTGGCCTCTGTCCCTAGGAGTGAAGGATGGGAGTGGCTGTTTCTCAGCCAGTGGATCACTGCTGTAGCCTAGCCTCTCCTTTACCACAGGCAGTCCCAGCAAACCTTGAGCGTGACATGCAAGCTGAAAGCAGTCCCAGTCCACTTTGGTCTTCCCTGGCCATTTCTGTCCTCTTTCAACTTGCTCATGTTGCTGAGCAAAAGTATAAGCTTGTATGCGCCAGAATTATAAAACTGGATTGACTGATGGCTGCATTTTTACAGTTTTTTTACTACAAATCAAGAGGGTCACATGTTCAAGTCCAGCCTGGTCAGCTGCAGATGAAATTAAAAAAGGGCTGCAAATGCAGCTGAGTGCAAAGGCCTGGACTCAGTCCCCCGAACCACAAAGCAGAAGCCGGGGAGAGAGCACAGCATGTGGTGGGTGCTCTTGTAGAACTCATACCCATTTACTGAAGTCCCTACCCAGGTGGCTCGGGCTCCTCGATGTCTTTCCTCTGACAGTGCAGCAGGGATTCCTGCCCCGCGCACTCCACCTCCCTGGTACCTGCATTGCCAGGACACGAGTCTTGTTTCCAGCATGGGCACTTCCTGTTTCACCTCAGGGGCTGAGTTTATCAGTTCCTTTCTTGAGAGCATGAGAGCAGATGCTTAGGAGGAAAGACAGAGAGGAAAAGGGGAGGCAGCTTGCAGCAAGGTGCTGAGGCCCAGTGCTATCTGCCTCCCCATGAGTCACCCACTGCCACCCAGAATTGGTTATTGCCCATTGGTGGTCTGCCCCCCTCCACCCCCACATTGTCACCTTGCAGGAATGACTACCCTGGCTGGCTACAATGAACAATCCTCAGCAGACTTAGGGCTCGGCAAGTGGACATATTCCATAAATTAATAAAACACAAAGCACGTGGGTTGGCAGGTAAAGTCCGCCCTGGATGGCAAGGGGTATGTGCTGGCATCCTGTACAGTACCCAAGAAGGCGCACTTTCTTTGCCCTGGAAACGGAGCGTCTCATAGGAGGGCTGCTTACACCAAAATTACCATCCTTCATTACTCAACTTTCTCCTTACTCTAGAGCAGTCATTTTTTGAAGGTTACCCAGAGAGACCAGTAAACAGTCATTGCCGCTGTGTCTGATAGGACGATACAGGTAGGGAAGTGAGACATGCATGTTAGAGCAGACAAGGCCTACTGAGTATGGATGTGCCATCTGGGTACTGCACAAGGATGCTGGCTCACATATCCTTGCCATCCACGGCATGCTTTATCTGCCAAGCCATGTGCTTTGTGCTTTTTTAATTTATAGAATCCATCAGTTTGCCAAGCCCTAAGGCTGCTGAACTGTACTAACCAGAGATAGAACTGTACTATCCAGAGATAGTGCCTCTTGCAAAGCTATAAAACTCACCTTTGTGTGCTCAGGCGGGACTTGGAGACAGAAAGCCGTCCGTTAATGCCCCTCTTCATACTGTACTCCAGCTCCAGCGCAGCCCTCAGTCTCCTCCCAGGTGGCCTCCTGGCCTCCCTTCCCTTCCGCACTTCCTTCTCTCCCTCATTCCTCTTCCCTTCTTTCTCTCCTTCTATCCTCCTCTTGCTTTCCTATAACTTAATAACACTGGGAAGCTATCGAGTAGGCAGAAGGGAGGGGACTCAGGAGGAGAAAGTCAGTCTGTGCCTGTGAACTGAGTCCCAGAAGGGCTTCCCAGGCTGAGCCCCTTGGGAGGCTGTGACCTCAGCATAGTCTTGGGGGTCAGGCTGACCGGACCCTGGGTCTGAGTCTCCATCCAGAATTCCCTTTGTTCTGCATCCAGGCCCTTCGCTGTGCACCCACGCCTCCAGCAAAGACGAAACAAAAGACACGTTTTCTCCCTGGCTCCTCTCTTGTCTGTGGACAGCGCTGTTTTTCTGAGTCTGGATGACTCATTTCTTTGTCAGGCCGAGTGTCCCCCCAGCTGTGCATGCAGGGAGAACTTCACTGCTGGGCTGGAGGCCAAGGAAATCAGGGGCCATGGGAGATAAGGATAGTCTCCAGCTCAGCCAGAGCGCGTAACAGGACCACCTCAGCCCTCCTGCTTGTTCTCTGGTTGTGACAGGGTTGAGCAGCCTGTCCCTTGCCCCCCACCCATCCCCACATGCTGTGGAAGAGTCTTGGGGATAGCAGGGGTGCAAATATGGCAAGACCTCTCTCTGCAGCTGCCAGGATCTGAGGTCAGGTGCCGTGTGGAGGACCTGAGCTCTCAGAGTGAGAGAGCAAAGTGTCCAGAAAACAAGACTCCCTGGGCCCTGTGGGGTAGTGAGTGGGTAGCCTGAAAGGGCCGGGTGCTTTGACGGGCAAAGGGGAAAGGAGGCGTTTACGGTCCACTGCTGGTTCTTCTACTCACCTATGTAATGACTGGAGCTCACACTTCCTTCTGGGCTCCGGTAGGCGGACCCTTCTAGGCCCACCCAGGACTGGCTGCACACAGAGAGCCCTGGGAAGGGAAGGGGAGCGGGTTTGAGAAGACATGTGTTCAAGGGCTATTGGGAAGGAGTAAAATTCAAAAGGGGAATTTCAGCAGAAGCTTAGGGAAATTTGGGGGAAGGAGAAATTCGAGGAAAGCTGAGAAAAAAGAAAATCTGGGAAATTCCCTGTGACCAGAAGATTCCACTGAACAGGCGTCTGCTTGAGAGGGAGACTGTCTCTTCTCACTGCCCACATCCCTTCCTCAGAAACTGCCAGAAGCTGGAGAGCTGGTGGCACAGCTGCTCCCTGGGTGAGAGAAGGCTGCAGACTGCCTGGTGCTCTCTCCGAGGGAGGCCCTGGTTATGCACCAGCAGCCCACAAGACTCCAAGTGTCTCCAGCCTTGCCTGCCTTTGCCCTGTGGAGAGCTCTTCACAGACAAAGGAAGGCAGCTGGCCCAGGCCTAAGGCTGGGGGCAGGGTGGGAACCCCTTACTACTGCAGGGAAGTGAGTCAGGGGGAAGAAAGGGTGAGAGTGAGAGCACGCTGTGCAGCTAACCTACTCTGAGGTCCAAGGGCGAGGTGGCTGGAAACTGAAACCGGGAAGATCTGAGTCTTTGACCGAAACCAGATGTTGCTTCTATTTTGGCAAATGTAGACTTTGCCGACTCTGTCACAGGCTATAAAACAGGACAGATATCCTCAGGGGTCAGTGGGAAGGATGCTGTCCTGGTGGGCACAACTCTTTGTAAGATGAGGAAGCAGCCCTGTCTGTGAGGGACGCTGAGCTGAGTGAGCAGGGGAAGGGCGGGTGGAGCTGGGCACCAGCTGTGAGGTCCCTAAAGTGTCCTCTGAAAAGTCAAGATGTCTGTGGCTGCATCTAGCCAGTCCCAGGGTAGGAACTCCCTCCCAGGAAACCAAGCCTGTATCCCGGGGCTGCCAAAAGCGTGCAGCCCACAGACATCCAGGGCAAAGCTCGCCCAGCACCCATCAGGTGCCATCAGGAAAGCGGATGAGCAAGACGAGATCTACCCAGACAGCACATACCTCCAGCCACACCGAGGAGGGGACTCCTCAGGCCCCCGTGCTTGGTGGAATAACCAGGCGCAGAGCGCAAACACTGTAGGAGACACTTTTGTCACAAATGTGAGTTGTCAGAGTGATAGAGACTACAGAAAAGGGTGATTCCTGTGGCTACACAGAAAAACTTTGGTGGCTGCAGAAATTTGGCTTGTGAGGACCAAGTTCTGGAGGTGGCTGGTGGTGACAGCTGTGTGATGTGTGTCCTTAACACCACTGCATTGCACACTTACAAGTGGTGAAGGTGGTGCATGTGAACAACGTGTGTTTTATCACAATGGAAATCCACGTGCACCTCCCAGATCTTTGGGCGTGGGGGTCTTGATCCCTGAGCTCCTGAGCTCTGCTGTACTCTCCTCCTGTCCCTCCCACTCATGCTCTTTTTCTCTCCCAGAATTGAAGTGAAGCTGAGGAAACAAGCAGGAGAATGAGGCGAGCGTTCCTCTATGTGCTGCTGCTTTGTGGGGCTGTCTCCACCCTCCCCAGCCAGGTGCGTGTCCCCGAGTCTCTGTGGGGCCCCCCGAAGCTGCCCCAGTGTGACTGGGACCTCATGTCCGCCTAGCCCCCCAGTGCAGTGGTGGAAAAGTGTCTAAAAGGGGGTGTGAAAAGAGGCACAGGGCCTCCATAGCCCGCATGTGCAAACAGCTCCCCTCTGGATGGTTTGGGCTGGGATTCAAGCCCCAGCCTCTGAACCTGGATGCCTATTCTGACTTGAGCAAGAGTTCTTCCTCCCACTTCCCTGCCTCAGCTTTCTTTGCAGTTTTTTTTTTTAAAGAAAATATTTGGATTAACCCAGAAAGCACTTATAACAGATGCCACAAGCATGTTGAGGCATGTGGCCAGCAGTGGCTCTGCTGCTGGCCGGAGTGACAGGCAATGAACACCTGTGTGAGGCCGAGTGACAGGCAGCGAACACCTGTGTGAGGCCGAGTGACAGGCAGCAAACACCTGTGTGAGGCTGAAGGCACCAAGACCAGCTGTGCAGAGGACACAGGGAGCCACTAAGCACGTGCAGCCATTTAAATCTAAATTAACTAAAACGAAACAAGTTGAAAATTCAGTTGGCTGCACCAGCCAAATTCTAGCTCTGCCTTGGCCATGTGGGATTAGCGGCTATTGCAGTGGAAGCGCAGATGGGAAACATTTCCATCTTTCAGCATATTTTTGGAAAGTGCCGGGGAGGAAGGAGAGAGAGGGTAGAGATGAGGCAGGAAACCTGGTGTCTGGACGGGGCCCCAGGGGCATCTGCTTGCAGGTCGGTGCTGTTCTTTTCCTGTGTGTGCTGATCCCCCTCTTTCGCTTTCTTTGCAGAAAACCCGTGTCCGCTTCAGAAGAGGCGCCAGGTCCTACAGAGGTGAGAGGAAGCAGTGGTGAGGGGCTGGAGACAGGTGGCCAGGGCAGGGCATGGGCACCGGGACACCAGCTGCCCTAGACACGCAAGGGTTCATCTCCCGGTGAAGATGAGCTTCAGAGGGGTCTGCACAGATGCCACTCAGCTGCAGACAGGTGGCCAAGAAGAGGAGCCAGCTGCAGGGCAAGAGCCTAACGCTTGTGGCCCTGAGGCCTTGACACACTGATGAGGAAACAAGGCCCTGAGAGACTGTACGACCTGCTGGAGGCCGGGCAGCTGCAAGCTCAGAGCCTCAGTGGCTGCTGCCAGGCCCCCCAGGCCTTTAGGCCACCAGGTCTACTCAGCCATCACTGCAGCTGTCTCCCTTTCTGTCTTTTCCCTTTGGTAAAATGGGGATAACTTGGCCGGGGATTTAGCTCAGTGGCATGAGTGCCTGCCTGGCAAGTGCTAGGTCATGAGTTCGATCCCTGTACCAAAAAAAGAAAAAGAAAAAGAACTAAAATGGGGATAACTTGCCTCGGCTATGTCACAGACCCACTTCTTGAGGTCCACAGCCAGAGCTGACTTCCGTCCAGTGTCCAAGGACAAATATGCTAACATCCCTGTTTTGAGAGGAAGGAAGTGCTCCTGGCCGACTTCAAGTCCCAAGCTAGCAACTGGGAGCCCTCAGCCTCCTCCGCCAGTTGGGTCTGGAAGACATCAATCCCACCGCCACTTCCTGTAGTGCTGGGGACTGAACCCAGGGCCTTCAAATCAGACCTCATCCTCAGGCCCTCTTTTAATTTTGAGACAGGGCCTTGGTGCCTCACTAGATTGCCTACACTGATCTTGAATTTGGCGATCTCCCTGCCTCAGCCTTCTACCCTGCTGTGGTTACAGGTCTATGTCTTCAGGCCTGGCCTGGACCCTTTTAAAGGGGAATTTCCTCTATGGAGTCATGCTGGTTTTGCTGATGGGGAGCAGCCTCCTGCAGGGGCGTCCTGGCCTTTGACACTCCAAGAGCAAGGCATTGTCTCCAGGGAGCCTCTGTCACTGCCTGCAGGAGTTACAATGTGTGTGGATGTGTTTTAATTGGCATTTTAGTTTGAATATAGAGAAAGATAAAATATTAGCTGAAGTACTTCAACTATTTTCATTGTATCAAAAGTACCACAGGAAGCAGCACATTTTTTAGACTAAAATATTAATTTTCTCTGTTTGGGATCAAAGATTACATTTCTATGTAATAATCCTCATGTGGGTTAACCACTCTGACAGGTTACACATAGGTAGTTATATTTTCATGGATTAAAATGAAACGTTGCATATCTCTTAATACATAGTTCAAATGATAAATATATGCTTTTAAAGTAAGGGCTCACCAGAGGGAGAACATAAAAGCGGTCCTCGGTGATAAAATATTGGCTATTTATTCCCTGCCAGCCGTATTCCTTGGGGACACACATTAGCCTGCAGCCATCCTCATGTCCCTGGGGATCAGCTCCATGGCCCCTCGGAACTCAAGGCCCCTCAGACCCTCGAGGCCCCTTATAGGAAATGACACGGTTCACATCCCACAGAGCCCGAGCAGTCCTCCCGCACTCTTCAGAACACCACTAGACCCCAGTACAACAGAATCCTCTGCACCACACACAGAGACCATTGCCCCATACCTGTGGGGGTGTCATGTGGCTGCGGCCACCCTGGGCCCTGTAGAACTGCAGACATGGTGGGCAGCCTGTGTGTGGCAAGCAAGTGAAGGGTTTCCCACATCAGGCCCAGGGGGGTAAAGTCTAAGGCCGTGGATGTCTGTGTTTCAGTGACCTGCAGGGATGAGAAGACTCAGACGACTTACCAGCTGCATGAGTCATGGCTGCGCCCCCTGCTCAGAGCCAACCGAGTGGAGTTCTGCTGGTGTAATGGCGGCAGACCACAGTGCCACTCGGTGCCTGTCAAAGGTATGTGCCCACGCCAGCCTGGCTCTTGGCTCTCACGCACATAGGGGGCCTCTCCAGGAGACCCCAGCCAGGCCTGCCTTGGGTGAGAGGAGAGGCGCATCACGCCCGGTAGTGTCCTCCTAGATGACTCAGGAGGATAACAGTGGTGCATGTGTTGTGAGCAGCTTGGGATCTGTCAGTTCATTTTGGGAACTGAACAGAACAGGCCAGCATGTGGAGTGCACCTGTAAAGCTGTCCTTACATGGCTCAGAAGGTAACCAGGGCTTTCCTTGTCTTCGCCCTGCAGGCTGCAGCGAGCCCAGGTGTTTCAACGGGGGGACTTGCTGGCAGCCCCTGTATTTCTCAGACTTTGTCTGCCAGTGCCCCAAAGGATTTATGGGGAAACGCTGTGAAATAGGTGAGTGCAGAGGTGGGGTGTGAGAGGCTGCATCCCTACACCACCATCAGCTTGGATGGGAAAGGGGCGCGTGGTGAGGGGCAGGCTGGGGACCAGGAGGGCTGCTGGGGCCAGGGGTATGGGCAGCACGGGTGCTGCCTGAGACTGCAGAGGCCCCCTGAGAGCTCTAGGAGCAGCTGGAGCCTCACGCACAGGGTTGTGTCTTTTCCTCCATCAGATACCAGGGTTACCTGCTACAAGGACCAGGGCATCTCCTACCGGGGCACATGGAGCACAGCGGAGAGCGGGGCCGAGTGTGTCAACTGGAACAGCAGCGTGCTGGTCCTGAAGCCCTACAGCGCACGGAGGCCGGGTGCCATCAGGCTGGGCCTTGGGAACCACAACTACTGCAGGTGAGGGCTGCCCTCGGTTCTCTGGCAGGGAAGAGCCTTACAGCACATCAGTCAGGCTCTCCAGAGAAAACAAACAGCACGGCAGATAGAGACATGGCAGCCTACAGGTTGGTTCCCACTGCTGTGCCTGAGGCCTGTGTGGAAGCCAGCAGGCCAGGGTCTCAAGACAGGCATGGAGCGGTCGCTGCGGGCCCCATCTCCCAGTGTTTGCTTCAAAGGCCTGGCCAGCCAAGCCTGAGGACTGACTTTCGCAGGCCTGCCCACCTTATCAGGGATAATCTCCGGCAGCTCAACTCACTGCAGATGCTGACCACAGCCACCCAGCAGTGCATGCATTAATGTTTGGTATTTCCCTGCCACTATGTCCTGACACACAGGACGGATGCTTGTCCACCCTTTATCAATTTGCACTCATGTTCATTTCCTTGAGCTACATTTAAACTCCACACAAAGACAACTAATTCAGGCTCAGCCCAAAACATACCATTTCCCTCAAGGAGTGTGCAGAGCCTGGGGTCTGAGGGGGAGTCTTACTCTTAACTTTCCTGACCTCCTTGGCTGATTTTGCAGAAACCCAGACAAGGACTCGAAGCCCTGGTGTTATGTTTTTAAGGCAGGAAAATACATCCCAGAGTTCTGCAGCACACCAGCCTGCTCCAGGGGTAAGTGATAGCCACCCTAGCCCCCACGTAGTACTCGGGAGAAGCTTTGGAGGACAGGCTGACAGTCCTCCTAAAACTGAGGAGGGGAAGGAGTAGGGTGAGCATTGCTCGTTATGGGTGCAGAGGGAGAATTGTCAGCAGATGTGGGTCCTCACCCAGCTCGGCTTCTGGTTGTTAGACCTTGAGCTCATCTCCTCAGCCCTCTGACCTTCGGCGTCCTCACTCCAGAGAGAATGGGGCTGAATCCATCATTTTCAGTCCTTTTTGAGAATGAATGGACAATTTTTGTTAAAAATGCCTGGAAAGTACCGCTCTTTCTCTCTCTCTCTCTCTCTCTCTCTCTCTCTCTCTCTCTCTCTTCTTTCTCTCTCTCTCCTCTCTCTCTCGTTCTTTTAATGTGAAAGCATTTCCCAAGATGAAAAAATACCAAGTTTAAAAAGGTACTATGAACTCAGTGGGGTGTTCCCTAATGATTGTCATTTATCACAACAGCATGAAAGATCTTTAAGTGCTACACACAAAAAATAAGGTGCATTCAGTCTGTGGGTCCACAGGTCATGGGTACACCTGTGACTGAATATGAAGACTCTTGACAATTCTAAAGCACCCTCTCCACCCCAAGGATTTGGTCATACCTGGAGTTAAAGCTGGAGATCCTGTCACAGATCCTTTCTAATCATAGCATTTGTGTGGAGAGGTGTACCTTTTCAGTTTTGAGTGGGTGGAAAGAGCTAAGGATAGGGAAAGTAGCTGAAAGTAGGGGGCGCTCTAGGGCTCATGCTGTCTGCAAGCCTGGGAATCCTTCAAGCACTAACAGAACTAACCCGAGGAAGCAGGACCTGCCAGCATGGCAATTACTGAAGGCCATGCAACCATCAGGCACAAACAAGAAACTCCTACTGACCTTCAGAACAGCTCCAAGAGCCAGCTCCACAGCGGTGACCCAAGCAGCCAGCCCCTTAGGACCAAGCGCGCTTTTCCTGGAAGCCAAGTCAGCTGATGGGAGCTGGTACCTGAGATGGATGAAGTCTGTGTCAGCTTTACGTCACTATAATACTTTTCTGAATCAACTTTTAAAACAGGTGTCTTGTGGCTCACACTTTTAGAAGTTTAGTCTGGGATAGTGAGTCCTATTGCTTTGTTCTCAAGGTAGCATTTCATGGCAGGACCAAGGGATAAGGCAAAACTGCTCACTTCATGGCCAGGAAATGAAAGAAAGGAAGACACAAAGGTATCCAGCTGCCTTCAAGGACATGCCCCCAGTGACCTACAGACCTCCCAATAGGCCCCACCTCTTAAAGGGGCCACAAAGTCCAACAGCACAGAACTAGGGAACATGGGCCTTTGAGAGACACTTAAGATCAAACTGTAGCAAAATTCACTTGTCATTTCCGGATAAAAGTGCTTGAAGAGAAGAAAGGGGAAACTGGAGAGGCTATACCCTTCTCCACCTAGGAGTGGCCACCTTACACTCCCAGGCCGGATCACCACCTCGAACCTGACTTGCCTGCTTTGTCATTTAACTGATCATGTTTCAGCTTGAGATTTCTTTTGTTCCAGGAAAGCAAGAAGACTGCTACTTTGGGAATGGCTCAGCATACCGTGGCACCCAAAGCCTCACCACATCCGGAGCCTCCTGCCTCCCGTGGGACTCCATGATCCTGAGGGGAAGGGGTTACACGGCGTGGAGGTTCAACTCCCAGGCTCTGGGCTTGGGGAAACATAATTTTTGCCGGTGCGTAGCACAGCGTCCGAGGGGTTCAGTCCTTGGCAGGGAGTTTTGGGGTGTGAGGTGGGAGTGCATTTAATGTTGAAAGTAATGGCAAGGTCTGCTGGGACTCAGACAGAAACTGTGGACGTTATCTAGGCCAACAATGGCAAACCTCTTAGAACCTTCAGTGATGACCTGCCGGCTGTGGCAGCCAACCAATTCATTTTCTAGAATAAAGTTTAGTTTTAAAAAGATCCTGTGCTCCTGCGCTGACCCCAGGTCACAGGTCCCGCCCAAGATCAGCCCCCTCTGTGCCCCAAGACACTCTTACTGTGGTGCGCTGCAAAGGTTTTGTCACAGAATAGCTCCGAGTTCCTCCCAGCACCCCTGTGAGATGAGAGCATGTTGGGATAGAAAAGCGACATCAAAGGGATGGTTATTCTCCTGCCTGGGGCCTGCTGGAGGTCCCCTTGAGGTCCTCCACACAGCTCAGATGTGTGCCATTGCTTTACGGAGGCTCATCTCACCATCCTGTGGCCTGACGTGAGTGAAAATGTGCCTGGAGACCTTAAAGTCCCTTCTTACCTAGGAACCCGGATGGGGATGCCAAGCCCTGGTGCCACGTGCTAAAAGACCGCAAGCTGACCTGGGAATACTGTGATCTGCCCCAGTGCTGTGAGTGCCCTCTGGCACCTGCCTTTGCCTAGTCACATTTTGCCACTCTTCCTTGAGCTGCTTCTGACTCTACACTGTTGTGCTCAGATGGTAGTGCCAGGCTTCCTCGTGGTGGGGAGAGGCTTCCTAGACTCCTGCAGTGGTGGGTGGAGAGGCTCTGGGCCTGGATTCAGGGGTGATGGGGGCAGCCGAAAGGAGATAAGTGCACTGATTTTCCTCAGAACTTCTTGTGTAGATGTCTTTCTGCACTGGTGGGGGAGGGGAGGGAGGTGATCTTAGAGAAGATGGTGACTTTGCCACATCTGCCTGATCCTCCAGTGAAATTAGGAAATGCACTCTGGGAAGTCACACATGGCCTGCACAGGCTCCCGGGGCTCTTTGAGGCAGAGCTGGGCCTGTCCTGTGGCTAAGGGCTACATACCCACTGTGAGCTCTTCCACAATTCCTGCAAAGTCCATTTATCACCGAGGAGGAGGAGCTGAGTTACAGTAAGGGATGGGAAAGAGAAATTTTCAGTTGGCAAACTCTCAAAAACAAACTTCAGTTTGGAAATTGCCCAAGAATACATAACTCAGTTCCTGTGAACACAAAGATGAGCTGGGATCTTCTGAAGGAATGCAGGGTCTGACATGAACTCGGTTAACTCCCCACCAAGGTCACCAGTGAGGCCTTGGGAGTTGTGCCAGTGGTGCCCCGAGAGGGGAAGCCAGGCTGCTAAGAAAGCACCCCCTCTCCTTTGCAGAGCTGAACTTCACCTAGCTTCAGGGATGGGGAAGATTGGGTAGATAGAAATATGCAGTGTTCCTCAGGAAAAATTCATAGCACTTTATATTATTTTTGGCAAGGAGATGACTGCAGGAAAAAAACAGAATGCAGCACAACAGATTCCCAGGTTGGGAGTTAAGGGACCTGGGTTCCATCCAGATGCCTCTGTGATCTTGGACAAGAGTTGCTCTGCCTCTGTGACAGTCAGGTTGGGTGGAACACAGGTTGCACACGCGTGGCCACAGCACAAGTGAATGTCGTGTTTCTACTGCGGGGACATGGGTCTGTTGCTCCTGACCCACTGTGGGAGACATTTGGCCCAATGAGCCAGGTCTGAGCCCCACCTCTGTCCTCTCCCAGCCACCTGTGGCCTGCGCCAGTACCAGCAGCCGCAGTTCCGCATCAGTGGAGGGCTCTACGCTGACATCGCCTCACACCCCTGGCAGGCTGCAATCCTTATATGGGACCGGAGGTCACAGGAAGAAAGGTTCCTGTGTGGGGGTGTGCTCATCAGCTCCTGCTGGGTCCTGTCTGCTGCCCACTGCTTCCTGGAGAGGTAGGGACAGGAGCGTCTGAATGCTCTCCAAGGCCTTGGGACTAGGCGCTGTGGAGCGCAGCCGAAACCATGTTCTAAGGCCATTTCTCCCTCAGGTCTTCTCACGAACTTCAGGTGGTCTTGGGCAGGACATACAGGGAGATCCCTGGAGAAGAGGAGCAGAAATTTGAAGTTGAAAAATATATCCTTCACAAGGACTTTGATGAGGACACCTATGACAATGACATTGGTAAGACTGCCTGATTCCCAGCCCCTTTGCACAACAGAGCACACACAGTACCCACATGTGCTCACTTGCATATCCCTCCTCCTCCCCCTCCTTATTCTGTGCCCCAGTCCCATGACTGGAGGGGAGGAGAAGGAGAGGGGAGGAAAGGGGAAAGACAGGGGAGGGAAGGGAAGAACCACCAGAGGGGAAGGGAGAGAAGCAGCCAAGGGAGGGGAGGAAAGGGCTCCTCTCCATGCTCAGCTCCCCACGCTCTCCCCCAGCGTTGCTGCACCTGAAGTCAGCCTCACAGCACTGTGCCCAGGAAAGCAGCGTGGTCCGCACTGTCTGCCTCCCAGATGCCGCCCTGCAGCTGCCCGACTGGACGGAGTGTGAGCTGTCCGGCTACGGCAAGCATGAGGCGTGTGAGTAGGGTGTCTCACCTGTCTGCGGGGCCGTGGTGGCTGAGCTAGTGGGAGGAAGGGCAGTTGCAGGAGCTGTCACCGTGCTGGGTGAATGTGAGTGAGGCCCTTGGCTGCCTGCGTGTGAGAAGAAGGTGCTGGTGAAGGCCAGAAAGGTACAGGTGTTGTAAAGAGCTTGAACTCCAAGCTAAGGTGGACCCCGAACTAACGCCTCACTAGATGACAGGATTAAATGGGAACATGTGTCGGCCACCTAGGGAACGTTCCCCATGTCTGTACAGGTGGGGCTGTGACCTCTGACTGAGGGTGACAGTGGCACTCACGAGTGCAGCAATGGAGGCTGCTGAGCACAGTGCAGAGGGCGCTCCTCACAGCAGAGAGTCCTCTGGTCACTGTGTCTCTGCATTGCTATAGCGAAACTGCATTGAACCCAGTAACAATTGATAAATGTCAGCTGTTCCTGGCACATTTTCCGTTCTCTTTCCAAGTAACTTCCCCTATAACTGTAAGGTGCTTCCCCTCTCTTTCAGCTTCTCCTTTCTACTCTGAGCGACTGAAGGAGGCTCATGTCAGACTGTACCCACCCAGCCGCTGCACGTCACAACACCTGTTTAACAAAACCATCACGAACAACATGCTGTGTGCTGGGGACACTCGCAGTGGGGGGAACCAAGCAAACCTACACGACGCTTGCCAGGTGAGCGTGAGCACTGCTCCATACTCTGAACCTCCCAGGATAAAACGTTCCTCACCAGCGGGCTCTTAACTCAGGAGCCAGGGTAGAGTGATCTCACTCTATTGAGGTCCTGGAAATTCTAGATGACAGCCTCAGAGAATAAAGCAGTTGGAGAAAGATCAAAGGTACCCACATTTCAGAAAGCTAACTGTAGGAAATTTTTCCCCAGTGTCTGCACAGGAAACTCCACCTGGTACAGGACTTCCTGTGAGCCAGGCAGGGGAAGTGACAGGTGAAGCCACATAACTTAAAATGCTTAGCTCTGCGAGCACTAGATAACTGGGGTCTGCTCCGTGGCAGGACAATGGAGAAGGGCAGCTTGTTGCAAAGCAGGACATAGGTGGTTCTGAGAAATGAGTTTCAAAAGCTCACATTCAGCCTTTATACCACAGAAAGCAAACTACTTAAGTTCTCTGTGCTGGGACCGTTACCAGAGCTCATACTTGTTTGATGGTTAACAAGATACTGGGGCACAGGGTCAGACGTCCCTACTGGGGTCCTCAACATGGCCGGGGAGTTCACACTGCTTAGGTGCTCTGGTGCCCAAGGTGTGTCAGGCCCTTCTTTAGGGCTGGGGGGTGAAGTCACAGAGAGAAGGCTGTGCAGGCTGGCGCCTCCTGCTTTGTGGGCTCTGCTGGTATACGGCAACGGCAGTGATTTCCTCTCTGTTTCTTCATGGCGCTTATTGTTTTCCTTTTAAAATATGCTTATATGTGAGTTGTTTTTTCTAAACTAAAATCTCAGTGTTCAGGTTCAGTTGCAATGCTGGCACTCTGTGATAAGTAAGTGGGTTTGGGTCACAGTTTGCCATCAGGGCCCTAGAGGATCAAGACAGCAGGGCAAAGACATTTGCTCTCTGAACTAAGTATTCTGAGGAATACAACTCACGAGTGCACACATGAGCCCAGTGTTCTCTGTTCTGCTGTGTGTGACGTTCCGTTGTGTCTCTCACAGGGCGACTCCGGCGGCCCCTTGGTGTGCCTGAAGGATGGGCGCATGATGCTGGTTGGCATCATCAGCTGGGGCATTGGCTGTGGGCAGAAGGATGTGCCAGGCGTGTACACCAAGGTCACCAATTACCTCTCATGGATTCAAGAAAATATGGGACTGTGACTGAGGACACCCAGCTCCTGGACTCAAAGGAGACACCACCTTCTTCCTCATCCAAAGACACTTCTAACACCAAGTGCTTCTTTACAGCAGTTTCTCAACCACCCACCACCCTGTGGCAGGGAGGAGAATCAATAGAACAGAACCAAGACTAACTTCTTTTAGAAGATTTTAGGGACCGAGGTCTGACTTGAGAATGTCTTCTGTCCGGTGAAAAGACAGGTCGGTAATGCTGGCCTCTCCTGAGATCCAGCAGGCAGGAAAGCCTGGTCTCACCGTGGGTCAGGAGCACTGGAGCTGAGACCTCAGGATAAAGCAGACCCAAAAGTCAGAAATGACCAAGTCCTCCAGCTAGGACCACCTGGCGAGAACATGTATCCACAGTTACAGGAGAGCCGTGGAGGCCTCCAACGGGGGATGGCCTGGCTGGCCAGATCACCCCCTCCAAAACCACTCTTGGACTCCTCCCCACTCACTGCACACTCTGGAGGCATTCTTTACGCATACAGGAGATGACAGTCTTTACAAAGACTTTCTAGAATGGGAGAATTGTATCGTCTTAATAATCTATGAGCTAGGCTCTAGCATATTTATATCGATCCATTTTATTTTCTGTTGTCACAACTTTGTACTATATTATACTTAAATAATAAATTCAGATATATTTTTCACATTGTTCTCAAATCAGTGGAACTTTTTTGTTAAACAGTTTCCACCGCTGACTTTCTCTTGGTGTTCACGTTCACATTTTTTTGAACATTTAAGTATTTCCTTCCACACATGTGGAATGCCTGCTGCCCACAAGGAAACATGCCAGGACTATGGACAGTCAGGGCAGGGGAGAAAGGAAGCCTGGTGTGGAGACAGCACAAGGCATTGGCAAAAAAAAAACAAAACAAGGTGGGATGGACATGGGCCACCGGGACTCCCATGCAGTGGGGTAAGGGAGTCTAAGAGAAACACAGACTTATGGGGGCTCTCACCAACTGAGTCAGACGTGGACGGGTGCATGGGGCAGGAAAGGCAGTCCCAACACAAGTTCCCTAGATACTACACATACTGAACGCCAGAGGCCAAAGAGACAGAGGAGTGAGCAGCAGCTTGGAGAGAACTTCATGGAGGACTGTTGTTTGGAATTTAGATTACAGGGCCTCTGAGCGCCAAAGTGAGTTTAGACCCAATTCTGCAGCACCAGGAGACATAAACTGGGCATGCCTCAGGCAGATTAGTCACCATGGCTAGAGTGAGCAGGTGGGTCACACAACTCTGGGCGCTTACTCTGCAGCATAAAGGAAAAGCACACCTAACACAGCAACTTCACAGTTCTTACTTCAGACTAGAAGCAAGTGCCTGGGCCTTTCCGCTGTGTTCCTCTGCCCTTCTGCTCATCAGAAGAATGAGCTCTTAAGGACAGCTGTCTTGCTGCCTCCTGCTTCCTACACTGCACTCCTGTGTCCTGGCTGCTGCCTGCATTTCTATCAGTGAAACGCTGGCTTCCTGAACATATCGGATAGTGCAGTGCTTGCCCCTGTGCACTTGCCTATAGTTTTTTTTTTGTTTGTTTGTTTGTTTTTTTTTTTTTTTACACCAGTACCAGGGATCAAACTCACAACCACATGCTTGCAAGGCAGGTGCTTATGGGACTGAGCTAAATCCCCAGCCCCTTTGCCTATAGTTTTAAAGAGAAGAATGTTCTTTATCTTGTGAGAGGCTGTCAGAACTGCCCAGCTAGAGGTTCTGGGGAGAAAAGCAGCTTAAGTCACAAAAGAAATTCTCTAATGCCTGGGGGCAGGAGTGGGAGGCAGGGGCAGCCCTGCAAGGCTGAGGTCCTCAGGCCCCTTAAGCCAGTGCAGGTCCCAGACTTACACCACACAGTTCCTGACATTTCACACCACTTGCCCATAAGCCCTAAAATTTTATTTTACATAGATGTTCATCTCAACTGTTTCTAAAAACACTGCCTGAGGAGAGTGGTAATCAAGAATCCCTGACTTCACCTCTGGCCAAAACACAGCCCCCACCCCAGGCCACAGGGAGCTTTGCTTTGGACAGTGGCTTCTTGGTGATAGCCTTGGTGAAAGCCCTATCACAAAGCAGTCCTGAGGCCTGTTTGGGCAGGAATTCAAAGTCAAAAGGCCCCGGCATTCCTTGGAGCAGAGCCCTGGAAACTGCTGAGTAGAGTAAGACAACTGCTCACAAGAGGCCACCAACTGACCAACAGCCCAGAACACGTCCTTTCAATTACACTAAAACATAAAAGAGTAACACAGCACCCAGCATGCGCTAGAAGATTCACACAAAACTCTTGGGACATGTTGGTGAGGGGAATGGGTATAAGAGGAAATTAAATACTATTTCCCCATTATCCCTGGTTGATTAATAAAACAAATGGACACCAACAATACCAGAGAACGAGAAAGATTCCTAATTTTTGTGCAGTTGGATTTCAGGGGCAAAGACCCAGAAGAGCAGACAGCTGAAGCTTCTATAGCTCCACTCACTCCTCTTTCTCAAAACATGTTATAAGCTTCTGGTTATAGCACCCTGAACTTCAAAAGCGAAAGGGCCACCCAATTCCTAGTACTTAGGATCTTGGAGGAGGTGTGAGTTTCAAATGAAATACACTTGAAAAAATTCTAACAATTACAAACACTAGTACTGATGGCGAGTCACCACCTACTGGCATCAGAGAAAAGTACAAGTATGCAAGAAAATTCCAGTCCCAAAACAACACTACCAGAACACTAGCCCTGCACTGTGGGGACAGTCCTGAGACCCCTGTGCACTCCTGAAACCCCAGCTAGGAACCAACCCACATACACTGTTTTTTCCTACATTATACATACCTATATGCACATTTCTCAACTAGGCTCATTAAGAGATTAGTAACAGGACAATTATAATAACGTACTGTTGATGCAGAAGAAACAAAGCCATAGGCAAAAGCAAAGTCTTCTCGCATAGCACAAAAATAACAGCAAGACTCAACAAATTAGTTGAGTGGCGCCTGCCTTGCAAGCATGTGGTTGTGAGTTTGATCCCTGGTACTGGTGTAAAAAAAAAAAAAAAAAAAAACTATAGGCAAGTGCACAGGGGCAAGCACTGCACTATCCGATATGTTCGGAAGCCAGCGTTTCACTGATAGAAATGCAGGCAGCAGCCAGGACACAGGAGGAGTGCAGCGTAGGAAGCAGGAATGTGAACAAGTATCACATTCCCTGCTTTGCAAGGGAATCAACAGAGTGAGCAGACAGCCTCGGGATGGGGAAGAAAAACTTGCTGGCTACTCTTCTGGCAGAGGATTAATATTAACATGGTATTAAAAAACACCACCAAAAAATAAAAGAGCATCATCAATAATCTGGCAAAAGAACAGAACAGACACTTCTAAAAAAAAAAATACAAATGGCCAGTAAGTATATTTAGTGTGTTAAGACATTAGAGAAAGGCAAATGAAAGCCATCTCACTTCAGTGAGAATAACTGCCACCAAGAATATAAAAAACAGTAAATGCTGGCGAGAATATAGGGGTGAGGAGGGTAGAAGTGGAACTCTTCTATTCTGCCCTGCTCATGGGAATGTCGACTAGTACAGCCAAAGTGCTGTTGTAGAACTATCACTGGATCAGCTATGCCTTCCTTGACTCGCACCCGGAAGAATTAAGATGAGTGTACCCAGAGTTATCTGCATACTGTGCCGGCACAGCACACAACAGCCAAGCTATGGAACCAGCTGCGGCGCCTACCGCTAAATCAACAGATAAAGGGAACGTAGTGTGCATCCGCAACAAAATATTATTCAGCATAAACTAGACTGAGATTTTTTCATTTGCAGAAGTATGAATCTGAAGACCATCACAATGAACAAGTATCACATGTGCTAATAAATGGAATTCTAAAAAGATGTCGAGAAAGTAGAAGGTAGATATTTCCAGACAAGAGGAAGGAAAGAAAGGGGAGGGAGTGAGGGCTGGTTATGGTGGCACAGATGTGATCCAAACACATTACACACGTGGAAGCCCTGCCTAACACAGCAGTCAGGAAGATCATTATAACACATTATGTGCGTGTGCAAATCTGCCAAAAGGAAATCTAATAATCCACCAATAAAAACATGGCCAAAACACATTACATGACTATATAAAAGTTGTATGAGTGTGGTCTCTTTCTCTCCCTCTCTCTCACCCCACCTGCAGTAAAGGGCTTGGTGCCATTGTCTGGGGTTTCCTGGCTCAGGCCCTCGTTCCAGTTCAAGGATTCCTGGGGTACACAATATCACCAACTGCTGCACTTTCCACCCACAGAGCTGATGCCTCTTCCATCTTTACTGAGTAATTTTAACAACACTATGTCTGTGTTGCAGCTTAAGGTACAAGAGCAAAATTAGTACAAATTTCCTTTTCCTTCTTTACAATTTCAGAGATGCTCCATTTTTACCATAGATCTTAGCAACCTCAGGGTATAATTTTTTACTATATTAAGTAGAAAACTTTAACTTTTCCTTAAAAGGAAGCACTTCATGGGTTTTTTTTTTTTTTTTTTTTTTTTTTTTTTTTTTTTTTTTGTATACGCACATGTCCAGCACAACTACTTTGACCACCAGACAGTCATTGCTCACGTGCAGGTGATTCACACCCGGGGAATGATGGGAGGAACAAAGTGGGGTGAGATGAGGCAAGGCTGACCAGCATGGTGAAAGATCTCATCAAGCTGTCAGAACAGTGCACAAAAGGCTGGGGAGATAGCTCAAGGGCACATGCCTGCCTGGCAAGTGCAAGGTTGTGAGTTCACTCCCTGGTACAAAAACAAACAGGGAAAAAACCCAAAACAGAACAGTACACAATTTAAAAACATACAGTGCTTATTTCTGAAATTTAGTATTTCAGACCCCAGACAACTGAAAATGGGTGAAACAAAGCTGTGGATAAAAGGGGAACTCTGTAGTACAGAATGACCAAGGGCAGCAGAAACCAAGTAATAATAAACAGTAACCGCTGGTGGTTAGTCAAGTCTCTGGAGAAAATCACCACAGATGCAGAACCCAGCATGTCTCCTGTACAGACCCCTACTCCTTATCTTCCAAGCACCCTCTACCACAGCAGACGTCTGTGTACACCCTGCAACCTGCTTCATGCCCACATCGCCAGCCAGAGGAGCCTACCAGGGGAAGGAAAGCACTAGAGTAACATCGCACCTTCAATGGTCTTCTCTGCTGCTCTGACAGAAGTAATTCAGTTGATCAGAATCTTGGTCACCACACCTTCAAAACGACCTTAACACCCAAATCCCCTACTTTTCAGAGGTGACTAGTATCAAACTACACATGTGGCCTGGGCCTTGCTGCTTCTGCTGAGGAAGACATAGCGTGGTATTACTGCTTGTGCCAGTAACAAAACACATAAGCCAAAGAACACTGGGAAAAACAACTTTATTAGGATTTCAAGCCACTTCAGCACGTTAAACACACACGGAACTGAATAGCTGCTAGATGCCCCGCACCACGCATGCTGACACTGCGGGCGGCAGGCGTGACGTCTGTCTGCTGCATCCATGTGACACCTCACACACGCTGAGGCCTGCAGGTCCCAGACTCTGCAGATACTTTACTTTCACGTATCTCACAAAATGGGATGAGCTGCCCTAGAGGAAATGAAACAGCTACACTCATAAACCTAAAAGTATTTAGGAACTAAGATTAGTTATTTTCTATGACCTAAGAAATCTTAAACCCTTCAGAGCCCTCAGAAGTGGTTTCTGGAATCTCCAGGCAGAGATACTTACCCTACCAAGGTAGGTCTATACGGGCCATAGCAACCCAGGACAAATTCTGGAATGATGAAATATAAAACACCTCTGGCTGTACACAGCAGAATTCATCCCAGAGGAAAATCACAAAGCAGTATTACTCTGCAGCAAAAGTAAGTCCTAGAAGCAGCGAGATAAAACTAGCCAGTCCACTCACCAACACACACACACACACACACACACACATATTAGTATTTGGTAATGGGGCTTCAGAGACAAGTTCTACATTTTGGAGAACACAGCTCTTCTTTTCTCCATGCACAATGTAGAGCACAGTATCAGTAAGCTGTAACTCAAAAATAATAAAACCCTGAACTTGTCTTTTATCTAGATATTAAAATGGGTAATTAAAACATGGGTGCAGAATAAAAATGAGCCATTGGAAAGCCTGAAGCAGTCCTTAAGTTACCCTGTTTCTTACTGACTTGGTTACACATCATCAACGTGGTCTGTCTTCTTATAAAATTAGTTTTATTCGAAGATTTAAGTGACTTGTCTTAAGAATGGACTGGTAGACAGTTACTGTTAAGAGATATATTATAGAGGAGAGTACCAAACACGAGACTGAAATAATTTTACCACATAGCTTTAATGATCTATCAGGCCCCAACTAGTGAGCAGTCTTTTTCCTCAGGACTACTGATGGAGCAGCTTCAGGCAGATCGCTTAGGACCCAATGCCATGGGACGCATGTGAATATCAGCTGTGCCCCTTCCTGGGGATGAACTGCCATCTCCACTCATGAAATATGGCTGCACTGAAATTCTCCTACACTTTAGGAAACTCTGAAGAAAGACCTGGTAACCAGCAAAGGCTGGTGAATTCTTAGAGTGATATTAGTGTAACTGTTTTGGCAAAAAGATAGGTCATTGTCTTATAGATGACAGCCTAAGTATTAAAGGCAAGCAACAGTTAGACCCTGAAAGTCAGTTCAATGCCATCTCAGTCTTCAAGGGAAAATATGATTCTACTGGGGTGCCCATGGCAAGAGTGGACTTGGGTGTTAGAAAGGTCCAATCCATTTCCAGAAGTGCAAAGGAATTTTATGTATTAGAGGGATCAGAAAGAAACCAACTCTACTCTTCCCAAATGTCCTGACAGCAAGTTTATACTGTTCTTTGCCATCTTCCTCACAGTTCTTCTTCAATACTATTTCCCTTTTCTTCTCCTTCATAGATACACGCTTGCACACACCCATGCTGGAGACTAAACCGCAGAACCTGCTAAGCAAGGGCATTACCATGAAGCACCTCAGCCCACAGATCTCCCTTCAGCTGGGCTTTCTTCAGTGGTCATTTTTCACCTAATCTCTTCCCTTCCCTTTCCGTTTCTCCTTCTACCTTAAAAAAAAAAAAAAAAACACTAAAGAAATCTTTCATTGGCTTTAGATAATTAAAGCCAGGCAAGCAACAAATATGTATGGTTTCCTACAGAAGCCACATTCAGAGCAGTTATATATGGTGGCACGCACTGCCGGCCTTCCACACACACCTCCCTCAGACTGAGCTGGTGCCGACCGAGCTGCAGTTCTGTCCTCTTCTCCCTTCATTACTTCCACGGCACTCAAGGCTAAGGAAAAAAGGGAGCTGGTGAGTCCTGGGGGACTGACCTAAGAGACAGGCTGATATTTTTTACTTTTAGACAAGAAATAAAAAAAAGTGTTCATGATTGTTCCTTCTACAAAACTCTTTCCTTCAGGTTCGAACTTGGAATTTTCCAGCTTTGGTCATGTATTTTATGCCCTTAAAGGGTTTATATTTTTCTCCATACATATCCAGACGATTCACTTTGAGTCCTGGAAAGGAGGAAATAGGGAAAAATAAAATGGGCATTATTCAGGGAAAGTATTTGGCATTACTGCTTACATTCGTTTCAATTCAAACATTTTGTACAACAGAAATTTCTGTAACAATAAAACCACTTTTGTGAAGAAGCTGGCAGAGTGTGCACTCTGAGCAGATATACTGATCATAAAAAACTGCTTCAACCAAAAGCTATCCTATTAGAAGATCTCTTCCTAAAGTGGAAAGGGTGGTAAATTATATGCACAGGAAATAACAGGAATCAGAAAATAAGATCACTCTATGTTTCCTTAAATTACTGGACTTAGAAAATAAATTAGTAATAACAAAATTAATGAATGAAACAAATTATAACTAATGAGAATGAACTGGTCAATGAATGCTAAGTATTCTCATTATAATGAACAAAACACTGATACTGTATATAGCTTTATAGTTTACTACATGCTTTAAAATAAAAGCTTATAATTTAACTGAATTCTAATCACTTAGACAAGGTCTTTTACTACAGAAAAACAGGAACATTATAAAGTCATCTCCTTTCTACCTTGTGAGGTTGTTAAACAATAAAATACAAGAAAAGAGATGAAGAGTGCCCGGTATATAATAAGTGCCCAGTAAATGGTGAGTTACTATCCCCACCATCCTAAGGAAGGTGCAGACGGGAGAGACTGGGCTGCACAGGCCCGGTGGTTCCAAAGGGATCCTGACCACAAAACAAATCTTCTGTAACTGGGAAAAAGGAATGGAAATGGTTCTCTCCTATTACAAGCTAAAGATGCAGGAGCACTTGCGTACAGAAAACTGAGATGACTGAACAATGGCCCATGACCACTGCTAGCCACCAGTGTTATTTCTTTCCCGGTTTTATATTAGATACTTGGGTCAACTTTAAAGTAAGGGCCCTAAACTTCCCCCAGAAATACTATGGAAAAGATTTCCTTGAGATACACAACAGGCACAAAACCACGTCATATAAGTAGGGAGCCACAGGAAGGCCTCCTGATGCCCCCACTTCATGGGAGAAAGCCACTTCTGTTCCCAGACAGCCACCTGAGCCATGGGTCACTCACCAGAAATGGCCAGCTGTTGGATCTTAAACTGCAGGTTAATTGTGGGGTTTTCATCCGGCTTGGAAGCTCCAGCCTGCAAACTCATGGTCCCCTTCAAACTTGGTAGCTTTTGAGGATTTATTTTTCCTACATCCCAAGACAGCATCTTCAAAGAAAATTTTAAAAAGAAGTGGTCTTTACAGTGAACAAATGAAAAGAAATGCAGTGGGACCCTTCCCTAGAGGTGGCTGAGCTCAAAATTGAGGTCTTTTGTTCACAGAACCATACGCTGTCTCTGGGGTGCTTTTCTTTTTCTTCTTTTTTTTTTTTTGTAGGGATCAAACTCACGACCTCGCGCTTGCCATGCAAGCGCTGGTGCCACTGAGCTAAATCTCTGGCCTGGGGTACTTTTTAATAGAGTCCTATTTGCCACCAAAAGTTATCTCAAGGCAGAAAACATTATGTCTTGGACTAATCATGCCTTCTAAACAAGGTCTCAGGTCTGTGTAAGAGTCACTTGCAAAGTCACCTTTCCCCTACCTTTGTCACTGGGTCAAATGTATGTGTGCCCTGCGAGGGAGTGAGGCTCATATTCAGGACTCCTCTGGGCATCTGGCTGAGCACGGTCACCCCCTCTATGGTCTTCCCCATGGTCTGCTTTGGTCCCACTGTTATCTCAAAGCGTCCAAGTGAACTGCTGTCCCGGAAACTGATACTATGTTTCACATACACTGGAATTGCAACCAGACTAGAAAACAAAGACAAAAGAGTCCATTTCATAAATGCACTGAAAAAAATCACATTATTTCCCCTCTTTTACATTACATGGGTTTTTGCTTTTTGGGTTTTTTTTTTTTTTTTCTGCTTTCTCTCCCTTATGTTCTCATTCCTTAACTTAAAAATATGGCATTCATTATTCTTTTGAAAAGCTAAGATGCTACATTTTTTGAAGACTCTGAATAATATAAGCAAGTCAAATCAAAGAGCATACCAAGGGTGCTATGCAAAAGGAATAACAAGCAAAAATGGAGTCACCATGTTTCTATGCTTTAATTTGTGACATATGTCCAACCATTATTTGTACTGGGGAGAGTAATACTCATACCTCAGGACTTTTAATAATTTCTCTGACTTCGTGGTAACCTCACGAAATCCTAAGAGATAGAGTCGTGATCTCAAAGGCCAGGAAACAGAGAAGCCACAGAATAATCCTAAACAGCAGTTCTCAACACTCACTGAGCATTGAGGGTGCTGCTCCCCAAGCTAAATGCGGGCAGCCTGCAATCCTGAGCTCACGTACCCTCCGAGCAAGTGGCATGAAGTATGAAGTGCACAATGGCCTGGTAGATGAACATTGAAGGCTTTCTCCATAACCTGGTTACGCATCTTGCTTAGAGTTGTGCACTCCAAGTACTGCTCTCAGGTGGAGTTTAAGTCCCCAGTCTGATTCCAGGGACTCTAATCTCAAGCACCCAAGCATTTCCTTAGGTGACTGATTCTGAATCACACAGAAAGGCACTGGCAGCTGTGAGGGCTCTAGATCTCCTCGTGCATATCCCTGCACAATCCTGTTCCTGAAACCTTCCACTCTGCCGAGAGAGCACTCAGGACAATTTAGTGCATTTTGGTGAGCCAGGAGAGTAAATATAGGTATGCTCAGTTTCTAATTTGAGACGAAAACGTTCTTGTTTGGACACAACAACAAAGGTCACTGCAGCAAACTTCATGAGCCCTCGTCTCATGTTCAGTACTACTTATACCCTCCTACCTAATCCTCATAGAAAAGTTTATTATTTTTAGATAAGAAAACACAGAGTAGGGAAGCAACTTACTGAGTTGACACAGTAACTACTGGAGGTGGAACTTGAACCCAAGTAACTCTAGAGCCCCACTCATAATCACAACAGATCCTGTTTCCACATACACGCACAGACACAGATTCTACCCGAAAGACGAGAGCCGCTTACTTCTGTGCACTGACGTGGTAAGAGAGCAGGCGGAAGTTGCCATCTGGAGGGATGAAGGAGAGGATCCGTTCAGACTCCCAGCGCTTGAAACGAACGCAAGGATGGAAGCTGACGTCATCCAGCAGCCTAGGGTTCTGCAGTCACCAGGCAAGAAAGCGAGACGCTGGATCAAACACTATGCTTTCAGGAAAAGTAATGGAGATGCTGTTTTCATTAAAACACATGCACACAAACACAGAAATTCTGTACCTGATTCAAACATTCAAACCTGATACAAGTTTTGGTGCTTCTCTAATTATTTCTTCTTATTTTTTCATTCTTACCACTCAGTCTTTCCAGAAACATTTACTTTCCCATCTCAGGAACTCAAGCTCTGCCCAGAATTTACCATGAAGGAAAGCGTGAGGTCTGGCATCCCAGTCAGCTTGACACAGGCATCGATCACCCCCTGGATCTCCGCAGTGACTGTGGAGCCTAAGACAGGAAGGAGACGAAAAGCTCACGGGCCGCTCCTATGGGCCTCTCAGGGAATGCCCTTTGTTCTTCCTGCTGCCTCCCCTCCTCCTGCCGCCCTTTCTTCTCTCCTTCTGTCTCACCATCCAATTCACTTATCTGATCCATTCGTGTACCCTTCCAACCCTTCACCAACTGCAGACAAAGGGTGAGACGCCATGAGGCAGTAATGGGCATAAAGCTTAGTGAGGCAGCTACCAGCCTAGAGGAGTTTCCAGCTTAGTGCCAGGATCACACAGAACCTCATCATCCCAACCACCGGTACAGAAAACTCTCCACCAGCAGCTGCTCTCCCTGAGCTCAGGGCGAGCTCTTCCCTGCATCTGGCACCACTCTTCTCTGACTCTCCCGGTTCCCCACCTCCCCGGGCCCCTCCCTCGATGTCCTCTCCAAGTTTCCGTCCACATCCCTCCATGTGCATGCTTTTTTGCAGTTCTGGGCGACGTCTCTTTAGTCACACAGCTCTTTAGTCATACAGCTCCCATGTTTACTGACAGCCAACGATTTCCTACTCCACTTTCAAGTCCAGCCTCATGCCTGAGTAGCCAGAAGCCCCCTGCGGTATCCACACTCCATGGGCCAAAAGCAGCAAACCTGTCACCCTACTCCTGACCTGCCCACTTTCCATGCTCTAAGGCCGGCCCCCCGCTGTCCCGCTGCCTAAGCCAGCAGCACAGGTAGACCTCGGCTCCCACTCCTTGTGGGACGTGCAACTTAAAACACATCTGCGTACCACTGCCAACACCTGTGCTTCACACCCTGCCTCGGGGGGGGGGGGGAGCCAATATCACCTGGCCTATCTCAGGCTGACCCCATACCTGATGCGTCACTGAAAAGACAAGCCTGGTCAGGCTACGCTCCAACTCATGATGCGCTCCTTAAAACACCGTGCCAGGCTCACTGTGATCTGGCCATCAATTGTTTAGACTTTTCCACTGATGTAAAATAAGACACAAAACTTTTGCAGTTCAGTGAATTTCCAGGCATGCATACATCTATATAAACTGCACCCAGCCACATCAAGATACGGAAGCTTTTCATCAACCTGGTATGTCCCTCATGTCCATCCTCAGGAATGGCATCTCCCAAATCCTGACTTCTAGTACCTTAAACTGTGCCTGTTTTTAAACTTCAGATAAAAGTAATCACATTGTACACAATCTTATCCATCTGACTTTGTGTTCAACACAGTGAGATTCACTTACATAGTGGACAGTAACCCACAGCCCATTCTTTTTCACTATCGCATACTATTTCACTATCTGATCATATCAATTTATTTAACCTTTTTATATTGCTGATGGAATCTGCTTATCTCCCAGTGGATTAATGTGAAAAGTTGCTTTACTGTCTTAATTTTAAGGCCTCATCACTAACTTTCTCTTTTTATTCTTCTCAATTCAGTCACACTGAACTACTTTACTTCCCAAAAGTATTTTGGGAACCACTGCATTTATCAGTGATTGCACCCAAACCAATCCCAGTCTTAAAAATTCTGTTCACCCCACTGCAAAGCACACACCGTGCACCCTTCACTTAGGGCAGAGGACAATTCAAGTCTACACTCATCCTTTACCTTCCGTCCTCCTTCACTAGTTTACTTAAGCCTCCTACTGTCTCTGACGTGTCTCACCACCAGCACCCACGATCCAGTACTGGGCTACAGTGCAACGAGTTTCCAGTCAGCGTGCTGATGGGTCAGTTCATTAAGGTGAATCGTCTATGAATGTCTAAGCTCTAAGAGTTCTAGTCCTATTCACTTAATTCAGAACAGACAGAAAAGAAGGTGAATCTTAGTAATTACAATTTTAGTTCTGGAACCAGAATTAGAAGTCAAATACTTTAACAAAGGGAAATCTAATCAGCAAGGTATTCGTTTGTTACTTCCCCTTTCTATTCAAGAGAGTAAGAGTTATAAAAATGGAAAATAAGGGTGAGGCAAACACTGGCACGAATCTTACATCACATTTCACTCTTGTTACACAGCACAGCACCTAACAAAGTCAGCACTCAATTAAAATGAATGATCCTAAAAGGGGGCTCTGACAGAGAGTAGTGAGGGTAATACGAGAGGACACCTACCCGACTTATCAATGATGGCGTCGATCTCTTCAATCACATCAAAATAGGCCTCGTTGTTGGTATACTTCACGCCCGTCCGTCGCCAAGGCACCACTGACAGCTGTCCTGTGGGAAGCTGCTCACCCACATTGGTGCTTCCTAAGAAAGTTGGTGTTGGTCGTTGCAGACGCCAGTCAGCACTTTAATGTTAGTTTGGTTCTAGTCAATTCTAGTAAGCAAAGAACATTTCCCTGGAAGGTTTTATGTGCTTACCATTACTGTGCTCTCACACAGAGAAGTATATTCCCAACTTCTATGTAGGGCAACTTAGTCTATTTTTAAAACTCACTGTCACCATCTGGTCTGCTCAAGCAGAAAAAAGACTTTTAAAAAAGTTACCTGAGAAACAGATACCGTATTTCTGTTTTGAAAGTAACATGAACTTAATGTCTTAAATATCACAATAGCTTGCAGCTTAAATAATGTATTGGTTTTCCGGAGGGCTGGTAATCTGCATATTGACATAATATCTTGAAGGGTAAACGACATGCTCTAGTTTGAGAGAGGGTCTCAGGTATATTAACAGTGGGCATGAAGATGTATACATCTACACGATCAGCTCTTAGCAATACAGAAGTCTAGGCAAAGAACACAGACTAGATCCTTCTGTGGGTACAGGGCCTGTAGAGGAGAAAATGAAACAGGGGCCTCCTTAGGTCTCCCAGCTAATCCAGACTAGAGATATTCCCCTGGGAAGCAAGTCAAAGACAGAGGTAGAGAAAAAAAAGACCAGATAAAGAAAGGTACCAAATGGCTTTGGGACTTACACCAAGAGACCAGAAAAAGACCTGGTCAGCAAGGGCACACAGAGAAGGCCAGATGTACAACTGGCAATCCGCCCCACCTCCAATAAAATATAGGGAGGGAAATGGGGTGTTGACTAAGGCAGTATGTGCAGACACCAGTATATACATGTATATACACGTTCACTCACTGCAGTCACTACAGTATTCAGTCTAGGGTCATTACAGAGTATGACAGATATACACCTACCCCTTACTAAGGCTAAGCCAACCAAGACTAAGGGCCATCCCCTACCCCCACCAACAAGTCACACATCCAAAGATCAATTCTTGATAGGTAGGTCAAGGACAAATAGAAAGACACTGCACACAGCCCACAGGAAGAACTGACTTCAGGCAGAGGTGCCCAGAAGCCAGTTCAGTTATGGCAAGTTCCAGGTGGAGGGGAGTCACTTATCCACCAACAAAAACAGCTGAGAACAAAGGGCCTACAGGTCCTCCATCTTCCTGGAGCCGCCCAATTCTTTCTATCTTCTCCTTTCTCCCTTCTTTTCCTCTTGCAAACAAAGTGTCCTCCTTTCATTAAACTTTGTCTTTCTAAATTATTATTAGGCTGGGTTTCAACCCTGGTGAGCTGCTCAACACTTCCCTGTCCTCAGAATTAAGGATCAACTCCTTGACCTGCTTTTCCCTTATAAGCATCAAAAGTATTTAATTCAAAGGTTTTATACTGAAACAATAACTATAACTTATACTCTTATTTCTTCTTTCCATTGACCGAGTCTCTATACTCTAAAGAAACTCTAAGCATGTATTTACTGAGCATGTTTACAAAAAAATTCCAGTTATTCATAAGGAGTTTTCAGATACTTTTCCAGAGCTAAGTGAGATCCAGGCTTAAATAACTTCCTAATATCTATAAAGTGACTCAAACACAACTCTTTTAAGGCTTAAAGTAAACTCAGAATTTATAAAACACACAAAATTTGTTACTGGGCCAATATAGTATTTTAAAAAAATTATCAAAACTTCTTAATATAGCCTGTCTATGTAAGATACATTTTTTTCTTACTCTCTGGTTAAAATAATTATTTGCAAAACTGGTTTGGTGCTTACAGCACTGTTAGTTTATGAATTTTTATCTCCTGTATAATATAAACTTAATATGTCATGATGGGGCAAATTCTCTCAAATTCTTTACAATTCTTTTCAAAATTTACACTTTTGAAAGTTTTTTCTCACTTGGTTGTCTTGTCAAATTCCATGAAACAAACAAGACCCAAAGTATGAAATAATGATTAATTTTACTAAATCAAAACATTTAAAATATAGCTAAAAACATACTCTTCAGTGAAGTAAGTTGGATACACGTGTAAATACCATATTGTTTCTCTGTTATGAGAAACAAAGTATAAATAAGGACCAAGCTGTATAATAGATATTGTGAAATAGGAAGAAAAATTCAAATGGGAAGGAAACCTAGGGAGGGAAGAGGAGGAAAGGAACAAAGAAAAAAGAAAAAAATGATAGGGATAAAATGGAAACAACGCTTTCGTAAATAAGAAGGGAAAGAGGTATTAAAGGGAGGGTGGACAAATGGGGGAAAAAGAATCAGGTTATAACACATACAGGGACAAATTCCCTATAATAAATGTGATCATTATGTATACCTAAAATGTACCAGGAAACTTAATTACAAAAAATAAAAAAAAAAATCAGACCTGCCTAAATAAAATGCCATGAACAATGTTAGATGATAAGTGACAGGTCATAGGAGTACACCTGCAATGCAGGATTAAAATACTAAAACTCCTACACACTACCACACAGATTGGAACATATCCTTAAATGAATGAATTCTTCTGTATCAGTATGAATAAGAAAAACAGTATGAAATAAGAAAAACATTTCAAATACCAAAAAAAGGGTAAAGGACATGAAAAAGTAATTCACCATAGAGAACAACTGGTAAACATTTGAATAGGTTTTGACCTCTCTAGTAACAAAAACAATGTGCAGACAAAAAGATGTCAACAAACTATCAAACTGCCAACATTTCTGAATATTAACAACAGGGTTGACTACAATCACAGAAACTACTGCTGAAACATAAACTGATGTTAACACTTTGAGGGCAACCTGATACCATATGTGGAATACTAATCCCTTGCTATTTAAAACAAAATGTACATACTCTCTGATTAAGTATTTCCATTTTTAGTACTGAAAAGAAAGCCTGTTGAGGAAGATCTAAAGGGAAAGAATGATGCCAAACAGGGCAGAGGAGACCTGTATCCTCACACTCCAACGGCTACGGCAGGAGGACTGAAAATTTGAATCCAACTTGGGAGACTTAGCAAGCCCTTATCCCAAAATACAAAATAAAAATGGCTGGAGATATGGGATGGGGTAGAGTACTCTTGGGTTCAATCCTCAGTAGCACAAAATAAAATAATAACTTATATTCATGCCTATAGTCCTAGCTACTCAGGAGGCTGAGGAAGAAGGATTGCGAACTCAGAGCTAGACTGGGTAATTTAGCCAGAATTTTGTCTCGAAATAAACAAAAGCATAAGAATGCTAATCCCTTGCTATTTAAAACAAAAATGCATCATAAACATGAAATGAGTAAATAACTTTAACATGGAAGAAAACTACAAAGGCATTAAAAATGATAAAGTATCATATGTTTATAAAATACTGGTAAAATATACATTTAAAAAATGCAAGAGTTTTGTTTAAAAATATTCTACCCATCCACCTTTCACCAACCTAGGAAAGGTAAGGAATATACACAGCATCACTGTTCAAACAGTGGGGTTAACACACTCCTGCCGGCCTACACCCCAGGAGCAGATGCACAACGGTCCCATCAGGCCACACAGACAGTGGCATTGGTGTGCACGCTGGGATGTCACAGTCACGCATGTGCCACCAGTGGCTGAGTTGCTGGCGGCCAGACATACAAATGACAGCCCTGTAGGGCACCTGTTAGAAGACATACAACCTGTTTGTGTTGTGTTTTTCTGTACTTCAGAAGTTTCTATACTAACCACATCTTCTGTAATCAGAAAAAAGTATTGCTAGAAGAATACTTTCACATGAAAACAAATATTGTTAAGAATAATACTCTTTTCCTGGTGGCAGTGAGGATGGAACTCTTGGTCTCACACGCTCTGTCAAGCCAAGCCCTGGACCAGGAATACACTGAGAACAGGGTACACTCCACACAAGATAAACACAATTTCTGATGAGTCTCAGAGACCACAGAGTGAAATTCAGCACCTAACTTGAGAGTCCCAATCACTCAACATGGAGGCAAACAACCCCTGCAGTCCCCAATCCTTACCTGTTATGGTGTTGACAACGGTCCGAAGGATCGTGGGAGGTTTTATCAGTTCTTTGAGGATGTTTGACTCAGTAGCCAAGGGAAACCCATTGTCAAGCATTTCTTCCAATACCTCATAAACCACGACCACATTGTCTTTGATCACTGGCTCTGAACACACTCCAAAATAATCCTGGTGAAGACATAACAACATTTATCACTTAGAACTGTAAAAAAATACAGGTATGTTCCCATAAAGTAAGGATGTTCGCTTGGTATTTCTGGGTTACTCTCATTGGGTGAGGTAACAGAACAGAGCTGGTTCTCCTGGGCCACCTGGCTTATGGTACCAGTGTCAGGTATCATTAGCAGTTTCTTCCACAAACAGGAGGAAGTCAGTTGACCTCTTTAATTTCTTAAACTTCATAAAATACAAAGAATACAAAATTGAATCTAGGTTATTTGTGCTTAGGAACAAGCATTTAAAAGAGTTACACAACTTGTAACCTAGATGTGACACAGAATTGTATGTGAAATCTTTTTAAGCCCTCCTCTTGTGTGATTTCTCAACACTGTGCAGCCAGTTAAGAGTTGGGAAAATGAAATGACAGGGGTGACCCAGCATGGCAGAAAATCACTTTTCATCTTCCTTCATGTTAGGGCTCCAAGAATGCTTTGTCCTCTCACGACAGAGGCTAACTGGGCCCAGTGGCACATTCCTGGAGTTCCAGCACTCGAGAGGCTGAGGCAGGAGGATCACTGAAGCTCAGGAGTTTTGAGAACAGCATGAGCAACAGAGATGAGCATGGGTGAACCCCCCACAAACTAAAAAGAACAAAAGGGGTAAACTGAAGATACTGAATTCTCTGGGTTTGGGAAAGGAGCTGAACACTACAATCGCAAGATCTGTATTACAACCTCAATGTTGCTTACTGGATTTGGTATTGTTTCATTTGTGGCAGGGATAGAACCCAGGGCCTTGTGCATGCCAAGCACACACTCCGCCACTGAGCCACACGCCCTGCCTGCCACTTACTGGATTAAGCAGTTTTAATACAGGCCTGGATTTCTTTAATCAAGAAACATCATGTGGATGCAGAAGGAAGCAGCAAGGACTCAGTACAACTCATCAGATGATGAGGCATGAGAGCTCCATGTGAGACAGAATGGATGACAACAACTTAGGAAGAAAGGTCTGTCATTAGCATACCCTTCTTTATACAGGGTCACCAAGATGGTCATGAGACCCTTCCTGAATTTATCCAAGGAAGGGAAATTACCCGTCCTGAGAAATCACATCCTTCTCGCAGGGGGTCTCTGATCACCAGGAAGTTCTTTCTTTTCTAAACTGAAATCTGCTTCCTAGGTGCCTTACAAGAGCAAGTTTACACCTTAGCCCTGTCATTATCTAAAATGTATCTAAGATAAATTTTCAACTTTTTTTCCTTTTCAGGAACAAACTCCCACTATGGTACAGTTTCCAGAGTGGGTTACCATTTTTGCATATTCTTTTGACATCCAAAATTGAAAAACTGTGCTCCCTTCAGCAGCACAATACAAAACTGTAAAGACTCTACTATGTGGTCTAAATTATACCAGATAATGTCAACTACCAGTGAAACTCTAACACCCAAATCACTTAGGAATATGTTCCTAAAAAAAAAAAAAAGGATTTAAAGGGGGAAGGTCACATTTTCTTCTCAAAAGTGATTTTAAAAAATAACAAATCATTATGTTGTACAAACCAGACAAAAGCAGCTGTAAAGGAGTCTTGCAATATGACAAAATGTTATAGCAAAACTACTTGCAATTCTTTAGCTGGGTCCCTTTCATCATATTCTAGCACTAAAAAAATAATGCGACTGGAGAGGCTGAACACCAAAAAAAAGCATTTAAATACAGATTGTACCTTTACTTTTAAGAACCACTTCAAAAATGACAAAGTCTGAAGCCCCAGGCTTCTAAATTAGTAACTGTACTGCATCACCAAGTTCCACTGTAATTTCAACTGTATTAAACAACTCTCCTGTACCCTGCCCCGTAACCGTTAACGTAACAGTGATGTTGCAAGATTAAGCAGCTGTCAAGTTTCACCAGTGATACTGCTGATGTGGAAATGATACCTGATAAGAGTTGTTTAATATCATGGGCTCTTCTATTTCTACTTCCTTCACATAATGAGGCCTGCAGCACTTTCATCTTACTTTTTTTTTTAAATAACACTATGTGTCACCCCCAGGGTCTCACTCATGCTGGCCAGCACTCTACCACAGAGTTAAACACATCTGTACTATGCAAAGGAGCTACTATGCTACAGGAAAGTTAAAATCACAGAGTTCTTCTAGGAACACAGTTTATAAAACACAGCTTAAGTCTCTTGGGGATAAAAGCAGCATTAGAGATGATCATAAGTGAAAGAACTCCTTGATTTGCTTTTAAATTTTTATGTCTGGGTTTTCATTCTCTTCTCCAACTCCACAACTCCCACGTGATTAACTCTGGATATCACATAACACAAAAGTTAAACCAAAGGGCACTTGCTTCTAAATTATGCAAATAACCACAGCAGAAGTTGTACAATTCTATTGGAGGGGAGCTTCTGTGTGAATTCAAAGTCTGATAGTCTGAAATTCTGCATATGATTGGCATGCTCATGTCCTGGAATAAATATCTTACCTCTACCCTAACCCTCAATATCTTCAAGTACAATAACTGCACCTCACAAAATGTCATCCTTCTTTGAGGTACAGAATATTTCCCAGTCTTACGTTTGTAACAAAAACTCATCACCAGCATTCACGTGGTATGGATAGCCATCTTAAACCAAAGGAAAAGGATTACTTGGCTTTTTCGTCTTCTTCTAAAACTGTACATCTACTGCTTTTTGGTGTAACTCAGAGCAACATTAACAATGGTTTAGCATTAAATCTAATTTGTGAGAAAAATGTAGAATCAGAACTAAAAATACTGTATAATATATAGTCAAATTAAGTAGGGTGGGTTTATCATGCAAGAGAGTAAAAAATACTCATTTTTATCATTCTGGATGCAGTCAGATCAATAAAGAAATAAGAGCTGGGAGTGGCGGTGCATGCCTGTAATTTCAGTACTCTGGGAGGCTGAAGCAAGAAGATCACAAATCCAAGTCCACAGTCTGGGTGATGTAATAAAATCCTGCCTCAAAAAAAAAAAAAATCTGAAGATATAACTGGGGTGCAAAGATTCCAGGTTTAATCCCTAGTACAAAAATTAAAAACAAATAAAGGAAAGAAAGAAGAATTTTAGCTGGGAGAGGAAGTGACCAATATCAGAGTTTGGGTTTCTTAGGCACTGTCTTAACTGAGATAGAATATAATGGAAACAGGAGCACATAGATACTTCAGTCTGCACCCACGAACTGCCCCACTCTCACAAACCTGGAAGGTGTCCACTACTCGGTGAAGGAACTCAATGACAAACAGAGGTGGGACCTCTGTTTGGATCACAGCCACAAAAAAGATCTTGTGACGGTAAACACTCAAGAGGTAGTGGTGAGGGGTAGGAATCACTGGAGGCACATTTTCTGCCTCAGTAGCTCTCTCCTGTGCCTCAAAAAAGTAATCACAAACAGAACGGCTGACAACACTCTTCCAGTGTTTCTCCAGGAAAATGTCTCCAGAGGAGTTGATCAGGAAGAGACTGTGGATCATGGCGGAGACTACCAGGGCAGAGGAAAGCCTTGGATTTGGCCAAACTGCACCCCTAAAAAAAAAAAAAAAGAAGTTATATTCAGTTCCAGCCAATTGAAACACCATCCTTATCTTTTCAACACTCTCAGACTTAGCCACCCTGAAGCATCTTCCCCAAGAATTCCTAGAATAATTATCAGTCATCTCATTGTCATGCAACTATATACTCCCAGTTCGTTTGTTTTTTGGTGCACATACTACATTCCAGCCCCTATTCTACAGCTACAGTATCACTTATATCCATTTAAAGTGCTACTTAATCTTTGGACATTTATTTTCTCTTCAACCAGACTGGAACATCCTTGAAGAAAAGGACCCTGTGTCCTTGTTGCTAGATGCAAATAGGGGGATGGGAAAACTTCAAAGAATACTGGTGACTTTGACATTATGTTCTGGCCACAGCTCACGTAAACAAGAAATACTATCGCAGTCACTAGCAACTGGGACTGGGACTCAGCGGTAGAGAGCCAATTTAGCGAGTGTGATGCCCTGTTATCTCAATCCCTATGCACCCCCCAAATAACTGGAGTAGCCCCCGCCAAATGGAACAATGAGAGCTTGAACAGCTGCAACTGAAAAAAGTAGACTTTCAAATACTGTATCAATAATTAAATATTGATTATTATAAATTTTGGATACACTAGGAAAAGTAACCTATTTTATTAAAACTAAACCTATTTTATTACCTTAACCGTTACTAGAAAATGTAAAATTACGTATGTGGTTTGTTTTCTGTTTTTATTGGCCCAAGTTGCTCCAAAGGATGGGAAGCTGCCATCGTGGTCTTTCCTCAGTCAGACTTCATCTCTGAGCACTTAGCAGTCACAGGCTTCTAGGGGGGTCTTTACAAAAACCCTCCTGAGAGCGAGCCCAGAGCCCCAGCAACAGCATCCCCATAGTGCCAGTGGCCGAGCTAGACCCCCGCGGTGGCTGTGCCACTAAAGGGCTGCGACCTGGCCCACCTGGGCACGCAAAAGGGCCTGCTGAACCCCGAGCCCCCGCGAGCCACATCCTGGATGGTGGAAGGGGGTGACTGCTTCGCAGGTCCAGCCCGCGGGGGCCTCCAGGGACGTGGGGGTGTGGAAGCTTTAAGGGAGGACTGCGTTTGGGCTGGGAACCTGGAAGGCGCGGGGCCCGGCCAGCAGGCACCCACGCGTTACCATAGCAAACCGGAGCCTCCGCCTTGGCCGGACGACCGCCACCCTGGCCGCGCCTTGCCCCCGCCCGCCCCGCTGCAGCCGACACTCCGCTGGTCCCTCTGCCCGGCGGCCCCGCGACTCTGCCCGCTCCCGCGCCCCTCGTGCTCCCCGCGTGCTCACGGCCCACAGCACCTCCAGCCCCGCCCCCGGGCCCCGGATCGCCGCTCTCCTCACCCGGCCTCTCACAGCACCCACGACGCGACCGAACCGAAGGCACCGCCCCCCGCGCTCCGCGACCACCACCCTGCCCTGATTGGCCAGCCGCGGGCCCGCGCCGCGTAGCGGACGCCGAGGTCTTAGGCTGCTGATTGAGCGGGGATGAGGCGCTCTTCTCCTCTGATTGGCCACTCTTTGTGGCTTGTCCTGTTGAGCTTCAACCCCTGACTGGCTCTTGTTGGGGTCTGCTAACCTCCGATTGGTGCAACTCTGTGGCTCCCAGCCCTAATTGGAAGGTGACTGCAGTTCGGGCGGACTGGTTACAGTCATCCAATCACAAAGAGCCCAGGCTTTGGGGCTGCACTTGGAGGGGATGTGGAGAAGGATGAACTGAGAAAGGAAGGGTTGAATTCCAGGCACAGTTTATCTAATACCGCATCACAGCTATAAATTCTGAGCATAATTGCCCTCCATTAGGGCTCAGCATTTAAAAAGAGACATACCTTTTCATTTGGGTAAGGTAAATGTGATTGGCCTGCCTGACCTTTGATGCAGCATCTCTGCTTTCAGCTTCCTGACAGGAAAATCAAGGGGTTAGGCTGGTCTCAGTTGATTTGATGTGCTAATGACCTTCATCTTTATCTGTTAATTTACTTAGTTTTTAAAACTTAAAAAAAAAAAAAAAAAACCTCTGTACGTTTATGTTTGCAACACATAGATGAATTACGTTTGTCTTAGGGAATTGGTCCATATACATATGGCATCTTGATCATTCCCTCCAGATTTCCTCCCCATCTCCACAAAGTCTACGTTCTTGTTTCCTATCACCCCTCTTTTATTTTGTTCATTAAATTATTTATATTTTGAATCTCAGAGAAATCATCCAATTTTTAACCTCTGATTTGTTTCATTTACTATTATGGTCTCAAGATCCATTTTCCCGCAAATGTTTCAGTTTGTCCTTCTTTATGGCTAAATAATATCCCACTGTGTGTGTGAGTGGGGTGTGCATATATAAACAGTATATAAATATATCACGTTTTCTTTATTCATTTATCTATTGATAGGCATAAGGCTGCTTGCATGCCTTAGCTATTTTGAGTATAGATATGCATGTATTACCTTGGTATGATCACTTTAACTCAGGAAGATACTCTAAAGAGATGTAGTGGGTAAAATGAGATTTCTATTTTTAGTTTTTTGAATCTCCATACTGATTTCAATAGTGGTTGTTGTAGTTTACATTCCTATCAACAATGTAGAAGTGTTTCTTTTCCCCCACAACCTTGCCAGCATTTTTTTTTCTTTTTCTGTCTTTGCAAATAATTATTTTTTTTGGAGTAAAGTGGAACTTATGTTGTTTTGATTTGCATTTCTCTAAATGCCAGTGATGGTGATCGTTTTTTATGCATTTATTGGTCTATTTAGTTTTCCTGAGACAAGAATTTCTCACTAGGTAACCCAAGCTGGCCTCAAACTCACAAATCTACCCCAGCCTCCTGAGTAGTTGAGATTATAGGTATGTGCCACTATGCCCATCTGATGTTACTTTAACTTAAACTGAAGTGTTCTGAGTCATTGTAATCCAGTAAAGTGTGAAACAGATGTCAGAAGACAAGAATCAACTTTTAGTTAAACTAAAAGTAAGGCTTGAAGTAAGATGAAATGTGGAAAGGATTTTGCAAAGATGACAATAATAATGTTGACCTAGACGAGGAGTGCTTTGCCTTTTATGAGTTGATTTTCACTTTGGTAACATGGGGTGTGGGTAGCAACCCCGCCATACACAATACTTTTGCTGAAGGTGTCATTGTTTGTTCTTTGCCATCCTTGGGAAGGGCAGATAGTTGGCTAATTCTGAACTAAGTGCAGGAAGAAAACCAAAAGCAAAGTGACTACATGATGTGGCACTGTATAAACTTGGGGGCTTTGGTGCCAGAGTGCCTTGACTTGAAACTTGCTCCAACATTTTCCACCCACGTGACCCTTAGAAGGTACCTTCACCTCACCAATGGCCAAATTTCTCACTTCTTGGGGATATTCAAGAACCTGCTTCAACAGAGTTGGAAAATGATTACCTAAGACATGATAACACATAATGGATGTCCCCAGGGTGGGCATATCTCATTCACTCATTGAATTAAGGTTTGCTGAGCCCCTGCTGAATGCTATGCCCTGTGCAGGAAAGAGAAGGTGCTGCTAACACTACGTACTGTACACCGTACACCATTTGCCAGGAAGGCTATGGCAAGTAATTCGGATGGTGTGAAAGCACGGAAATGTGCTGGGGCTGGGTGAGCTGAGGTGGGACTGGCCTGGAGTCTGGGAGCTCTTCTAAACTAACGCCTGGGGGTGCCAGAGGTTCTGGAATAGAGAGGTCAAAGACAGAGAAAAGAGCACACAGAACGTGTGGGAGAGAAGAGAAGGCAGTGCAGCTGAGCTAACTGAGGACAAGATGGGGATAGCGAGGTGAGATAAACCAGGTGAAGAGAACTGTTCATAAAGAGTTGTGAATACTCATCAAATACTACGTTTGGCACACTGTCCATTCACCTTGTGTTTTTTAGAAGATAAAGTCTCTCTGTTCTAGAAATCTCTATGGCCCAAGTGATCTTCCTGCCTCAATTTTAAAAGTAACTGCCCACTATCACCTTGTACATCTTTAGTGAACTCTCCCGTTCAGCACCTGGGTACACAACAGCAGTGGGGCAGACAGATATTAACCAATAAACGTATTAAGGAAAGTATGTGTGTTAGGTGATATGTGTAATGAGAAAAACAAACCTAGCAGGGAGGTGGCTGGTATCAGGGACTGGAGGGCAAGTTATAATTTTGAAAAGAGTTGTGAAGAGTCCGGGGTAGCTCAGGGGTAGAAGTCTGTCTAGTATGTGTAAGGCTCTGAATTCCATCCCCAGCATTGCCGGGACAGAACAGGAGAGTAAAGGGCACTGGGAAGACGTTAGGCTGAGACTTGTAGGAGGTGAGGGAGCGAGCTACAAGGGATCTGGAGCTTGAGTTCAAGCACACTGGGAGACCTCATACGGCTGGCTCGGAAGCCACAGCTCCCGCTTCTCTTGTAAACCCGAAGCAGTGGGAAAAATGAAGAACTACGAAATAGGGCGACATAATTTCAGATTTCCGTGTTCAGAAGACCATGTGTGGATTGGCTTGGAGCAGGCCAGGTTTAGAGGCGGGAGGCCATTGGCCTAGTGCAGCAATGATCCAGAGCTGCTTGCTAGTGGTTAGAACCAGGTGGATGCAGAATGGAAGCCGAGATGCTCTCATGAAGGATAGGGGTGGGGATTAATAAGGTTCCTGACTGCCACAGAGTGGGGCGAGGGCCAGCAGTTGGTAGAGCCCGCTAGAAGAGGCCTGGTAGCACAGCACAAAATCAGCCACAGAGAAGCCCAGGGTTGTGTGCAAAGCTGATACAAAATTCAATGAATTGAATCAAATAATTAGAGGATTTGGGAGTTTGTATAACAGTCCCATGATTTTAAGAAAAGCCTCAGGAAATCACTGACAACTCACCTATTTTGTGTATAAAAATCTTTAAGGAAAGTTTTTTTTTAATCGGTACTGGGGATCGAACTTACGACCGCCTGCTTGCAAGGCAGGTACTTATGCTGCTGAGCTAAATCCCCAGCCCCAAGGAAAGATTTTTTTTAAATGTGCCACTGATAAACCATTCTAGTGTTCTGTTTTGGTTTATTTTTAGTTTGTTTGTTTCATTCTAGTGTTTAACAGCTCTTGTGGCTAAGAAAATTTCCTGCCATAAAAAACTAATCACGGCTCTTGTGGTTCATTGAGAATGATTTATTTGTTTTATATATGTATATAAATGTGTGTTTTAATGATACATATGATACCAATGACATGAATTTATATAGTATATAATTTTTAATAATGCAATAAAGTTATACAATATATGCTTATATGTGTCTATATTATGTTTATGTTTATATAAGTACCTACATTTTTAAATTTTTCTTTCTGTTCATTTTCTTTTCTTTTTTTGGTGTTGGAGCTTGAATCCAGCAGAGCCTATCTTTGATCTGAGACAAAAGAGGCTTCACTGAGAAACACAACTTGTGGGGCTCTTCAGTGGCCCCAATGCACTTCTTCAGTGTTGCTGCCCTCTCCCCCTCTCCATGTGTGCTGCCCTCCCTTAGTGACACCTCCAGCCTGGATTCCTCCCTCATTCTTCCTATTTGTGGAAATTTCTTTCAGCTCTCGAGGCCCAGTTGTATGTTTCCTCCTCCATGAGGTACACCCCAATCTTGGTGCCTCCACATTGGAAATACTTTCTCAGTGGTGAAGTAACAGTCCCAGCCTCCTAGGTGACCTCTAGTGCTTTTGTCATGCTACTGTGCCTTCCTGTTTGTGCTTGAGCATCATAGCTGGAATGCAGGTTCTCTGTGGAACCACTGCACGTGTGTCATGCTGACTTCTATGCATTTGACCATCTACTGGACACTGATGCAATGCCTGTGGACTACTGGGAGCCTCGCATGCTGGCATGAAGCATGCTGCCTCACAGAGTACATAATAAAATGGGGAGGGCTGCTCTACAGAAAAGGCCAGTTTCCTTTAAAACAGCAGTCCCTAACATTTTTGGCACCAGTTTCATGGACACAGTTTTTCCAGGAACTGGGGGGATAACTTCAGGATGACTTGGGAGCACCACACTTATTGTGCACTGTATTTCTATTATTATTGCTCTGTGATATAAAATGAAACAATTATATGGCTCACCATAATGCAGAATCAGTGGAAGCCCTGAGCTTGTTTTCCTGCAACCAGCTGGTCTCATCCTGGAATAACAGGAGACAGTGACACCGCAGTGTGCTGCTCCTGTCTGGTCTACTTGTCTTGTTGCTGGCACTGCAGAAAACTCACTTCACAAATACAGTTGCTAGGAATGGAAGCAGGTTTTTCAGCACTTCTGTAGAAACCTCAGGATGTTCTGCCTTGACCTTAATCCAGAATGTGTGGAGATTTGAAGTTGTCTTAAACATATTTTTAAAGCCTCCATCATTTATAATCTCAAACAGTTGATCCCTCCCTACCATGAACAAAGGTGATTCGCCTGGCTTATTCACAAATAGGTCAAGGATCTGCTCTTTCCTAGTTCACAGTCTTTTGTAGTTGGGAAGTCATTGCTAGACTCCTTTGGAAGATAAGATAGG